AATACCTTTATTTTATCATTTTAATTAATAATTGTAATAATTTTTTTAATTTAAAAATTCTTGAATAATTAACATTTTATTTAATTTTATTAAATATCTTCATATAATAATTTATCATTTTAAATGTTTTAAATTTATTTTTTAATAAATTAATTTATAATTTTGTTTTGTAAATTTTAGTTTTAATGCATTTTTATTTTATATATTTTTATTTTAGTTTGTTAATTTTTTATTGTATTTATTTTATTTTTATTTGTAATTAAATTTTGTAATTTTTATTTAATTTATCATTTCAATTGAATGATTTTTATTCTATTTAAATGTATCATTAATTAATCATTCAGATTTTTTACATTTTATAAATTATTTAAATTTGTTTTTATTTTATTATTTTACTCTTATTTAATCATTTTAATTAATTTTAATACCTTTTCTCTTCAAATTAAAAAAATAACAATTTATATTTTCATTTTATGCTTTTTTATTCTATAATTCTAATTTTCATTTATTTTTCTTTTAGTTCAACACCTTTATTTTATTAATTGAATAAATGTATAATTTTAATTAATTTTCATAAAGTAAATTTTATTTATTGATTTTATTTAATATTTATAATTAATTAACATTTATAATTTTATTTAATTGGGCAATGCAGTGGTGCAGTAGGTAGTGCTGTCGCCTCACAGCAAGAAGGTTGCTGGTTCGAACCTCGGCTCAGTTGGCGTTTTTGTGTGGAGTTTGCATGTTCTCCTTACGTTTGCGTGGGTTTCCTCCGGGTGCTCCGGTTTCCCCCACGGTCCAAAGACATGCGGTACGGGTGAATTGGGTCGGCTAAATTGTCGGTGGTGTATGAGTGAGAGTGTGTGTATGTTTCCCAGAGATGGGTTGCAGCTGGAAGGGCATCCATTGCGTAAAAATGTTCTGGATAAGTTAGCGGTTCATTCCACTGTGGCGACTCCAGATTAATAAAGGACTAAACCAACAAGAAAATTAATGAATGAATGAATGAATTTTGTTTAATGATTTTAATTTAAATTGTCATTTCATTTATCATTTACATTTTATAATTTATGATTATTTTAGATGTATTATTTTTTATGATTTTATTTTTATTTACTAATTTTCATTTGTTGTTAATGTATTATTTTTTTCATTTAAAATAAAAAACATTTAAATTAATCATTTAATTTATCGTTTAAATTTTAGATTTATCATTATTTTAAATTTAACATTTGATTTTTATTGGATTTATTTTCATTTTAGTTCAGCACCTCTTTTGAGAGGGAATTTAATTGTCTTTATTTTTGCCTTTTTTTACTGTAAATGTTCTGACCTATTTTCTTGTCATGACATGTCAGATGGTTTTTGTGTAGTTAGCGATGGGATTGTTTGGCTACTGGGACAGCATTCAAATACTGTATGTCAGCAAAAAGTATGTGTATATCTCTTCTTCTCCTCGCAGGCTTACAACAAGTCATGTGTGAGGAAGAAATGGGAATTGTTGTGTATAATTGTAGGCTTTGATCTCATTCATCGCTCCGGTGTGTTATTTTTGACACAATCCATCCTGATGAATCACTCTGTTTGACCTACATTTGAGTTTTAGTTGATTTATTGCCTCCTGCTCTAACTCTCCTGATCCTTATACAGCTGTGAGTTTTACAGGAAGCTAAAAATGATTTCCATAATTTAAATCTGATGGAGCGTGCCTTTAAATATACATCCTTGGTGTGACATCTGTTGGCTCTGCTTAACTGTTATGCTAAATTCTTGTGCGTCGTCAGTGTGTTCATTTTATCACAAATACACTGTGACTCTTCAGTAAATAATTATTAAATGGCTTTTTGGAAAACCTAATTTTCATTGGTCAGTTCCTTATTTTTTGATTGTATTCTATTTTGTTTTACTTTAATTTTATAATTGTAATTTAATTTTCTTTTATGATTGAAGTTATTATTTTAGAATATTATTGCAAAATTGTAATTTTATTTAATCTGTTTAATTAAATGTAATAATATTCATTCATTTATTTAATAATTTAAATTTGTATAATTTTAATTTATCATTTATCATTTCATTTGATTGAAATTGTAAAAATTAATTTTACATTTCAAATTGTATATTATTTGATTAATTCTATTTGTCATTTTAGATTAATTTATAATGTTTTTTTAGTTTTATTGTATTATTTATTTGTATTTTAAAATAGCATTTTTCTAGGGAAATGTTGTATCGCAAGTAATATCGTTATCGCAATACTTGACAACTGTATCGTGCAGCCCTAGTTTTAATTGGTTGTATGTCAGGATATAGGAAACAAGCTCAGTCTTCTCTCCCGACTTAACTTGGCGATTTTTAAAATTCATATTCTGTATGTGTACATATGTTTAAGGGGTGGCCTATTAATCGTTAACCAATCCATGTGCATCATTGACAAAAAACAGAATCCGACTCTTTCTGCAAACACAACTTTACAATAGGCCATTTATTGCTCTCTGCATGTTTTTCCCTTATAAACTTTTCAAGGATTGATTCAGTCTGTACTTCAAGTAAACACCGGCCTGAAAACGAAGAGTGGAGTCTCATGAAAAGACTTGACGTTGGTTAATGTCCAAGCTTGACTGATTGTTTGGCCACACAAGCCCCTGCGCTGACAGTGCTAACATGAGCATGCATGTGCATGTACGGCTCCTTCTGACTCCTAAATCTAGTCAAGGTGACGCTCTCAGGTTACAATGTGTGACAGTCTGAAATGAGAGTGAGATGAAGCGCTTCATGACAACCCCCAGCTGTTGTTCATTCTCCAACAAGTCATCTGATAGCTTTCTGCAGAGGGCAGATTGATAGATTTGTGGCAGATTTAGGAGGAAATGCATGTGATGGATTAAATAATGATTTTACAATAATTGATTGTTTAGAGTAAATGTTTACATTAATCTTAGAGATATTCTATTTTTTGATCATGTGAATGCACTTAGAAAACATTTATTTTGCTTTTAATCTTTTAAAATTGATTTTAAATTCAATTTGAATGGTTTAGTAGTCAACATCATGTCTATTAAGTCATGTTTAAAAAGCCTGACATATACAGTTGAAGACACAATTTTTTGCCTCTTTAGGAATTTTTTTTTTCCCCATGTGTTGCTTAACAGACCAAGGACATTTTTCACATTATCGTCTGACAAAAAAAAAAAAAAAAAAAAAAAAAAAAAAAATATATATATATATATATATATATATATATATATATATATATATATATATATATATATATATATATATATAGTAGTATTTGCCCCCTAAAGAAATAGTATTTTTCTCAATTAGCTACAGAACAAACTACTGTTCAAGGACTTGCCCAATTAACCTAACTAGTTAGCCTAATTAGCCTAAGTCTGTAAATTGGACTTTAAGCTGAATGTCTTGCAAAACAACTACTAGCCAAATTTTATGGTCAGTCATCACAGTAAAGTCAAAATAAATTTAAAATTAATAAAATTAGCTATTAAAATGTTTGTTTAAAAATGAGTTGAAAAATCTTATAGATAGATATTTCACAGGACGACTCATAATTTTGTCTTCAACTATTAATATTGTAATGAATAAATCTTTTGTTCTTCTAAAGCAGGGGTCTCAAACTCAAACCGGTGGGGGCCCATTTCAGTGAGTGACAGTTGATGGGAGGGCTGTTTTAACATTCAAACACAAGAAAAAAAGTGACGTAATTTGTGCATCTTAGCACTTTAAAATCAGTATAGATTTTCTTTGCTATCGTTATTATTAGTTTCAATAAAACTACTATTTTGAGGTGTGCATTTTACAACACAGTATTATTGGATTGTATTTTCTTATTTTCCTTGTGTTCAACAATTAATATTTATTTATTTTTTGCACTTTACATTTAATTGTAATCTATGTTTTTTTTGCATATACAGAATGTGGCGATTCCAGAGATAACAGGTTGAAAAAAAAAATAAGTCTGATTGTTTTGCAGCGTAAAAGTGGTGTAATGATTTACTTTTGGTTTCATTCATACAGTTCATTTCTCAACCCGGTGAGGTAATAGTTAGCCAAGCAGAAATCTGTTCAGTGCAGTCAAACTAAACTTGGATTGAATTCCTGAGAAATAACATGAGAAAAAAAACACATTGCTTACGTTTAAAGTTTGAATCCTGTCCATATCATTTTCAGTTCCATGTATTTTTATTATTATTATTATTATTATTATTATTTATTTTTTTTTAAGAAATCCTTTTTTTCCTTTCTCCCATCAATAATTATTAATGTTGACATAGTCGCATAGTTTTACATCATGTGTCAAAACTAAAGTTGGGGTTTAGGAGGCAACTGATATGCAGATATTTAATACTTTAAAAAATATTCTTAATTCTGAAAAATATTTTCAACATTGCTAGGATTGGTCAAGATGCCAACATTTAGTGTATAATGACTTTGCTTTCCTGACACCCCGGAGTGTTATTATTGTTTTTATTAAAATACCCTGCAGTGAGCCGTGTTTCTCTAGTATTACATCATCCATATGTTTCCCTTTTAAAGAGTGTAACAGTCACGCAATTTAATTAATTCACTGTGTGCATAAATGACTTGTAAACCTGCCAGAATTATTCAGAAAATTCACCAAGTAGTCTGAAAGTCTGTTGTTTTGTCCATTTACCATCAGGTATCAGACATAATTTCTCAACTAAGCTTGTCCAGCATTAGACTGCATAAGTCTTTAATATCATGAGAATGAATGGCATGTCTAATGTCGTAATGTTTGGGTGAAACTGCGATAATGAGAGCTCGGATGTAATTGGTTTTAATCTATTACTTTCACACTGCTCAAGAATGGCCTCTAAACTGTAAAGAGTGTAAAGAAGTGTTATCCTGTAAATATCATCTTGGTTTCATTATTAGCACCTGCATACCTTTTGGCTTTTAAGAGTTTTATAACACATCTACATATCAGGAAATTAATGTTTGCTTCTTGTGTGTTGCAGGCACTCTTGTCATGATGTTTATTGTTCAGAAGAGGTCTCCTCTGGCCCAGGACTCCCTGCACAGGATGACGGCAGTTACACAATGCAGGAACCAGGGGCTGGCGAAAAGGTGAAGAGAATAAATACTTCAACAGTTACCAAACAAATACCTCAACAACTTGCTAGTCAATAAGCATGTGTCTTTATCAGCAGCGGAATTGCATACATTGGACCTCCAGAGAAGGGAGTTAGTTTGGCTGTTGTGTAAGACTGAATGGTCCCTGGAGTTGTGCAATAGCTCCTTATTCAGAATGCAGACTTTTGTTGACATTGTCGTTCAACAAGCTAATCTGTAGAGGCACCTAAGGGCAAAGGCACCAACAAAATTCACTCCTCTTGTGTAACCTATAGGTTTAAGTCTTTACAGGGGTGAGGAGTGTTTTGGTCGTATTTCTTTAAGATATAGTTCACTTAAAATGAATGTTCTACAATCATTTATTCACCCTTCACTTTTTCCCGAACCTTTTTGTTTCTTTTTTTCTGCTCAGTAACATACACTACCTAACAAAAGATTTGTCATTGATTCTATTTATCAGAGCAACAAATAATAACTTGACTTCTATGATCATTTGGAAATGAAGAAGGTTGATTTTTCGGTCCCACTTTATATTAAGTGTCCTTAACTTATATGAACTTGCATCAAAAAAATAAATACAATGTACTTACTGTGTTTATGATGTATTTGAGAACACTTGTGGTGCTTCTGAGTTGGGATAGAGGTTGGGTTATGAACAGGTTTGATAGTATGGGTAGGTTTAAGGGTGGGTGAAGGTGTAGGGGATGGTCAACAGTGTATTTACAAATGTATTTACTAAAGTTAATTACAGATGTAATTACATACATGTATTTAATCAAGCATAAGTACACAGTAAATACACGCATTTACACAATGAGTACATTGTAACAAACTATTAATTCCTGTGTAAAAACATAGTAGTTAAGGCCACCTAATATAAAGTGGGACCGATTTTTCTGATGAATCATCTGTTGAACTCCATCCTAATCATCACAGATACTGCAGAAGACCTATTGGAACCTGCATAGACCCAAGATTCTCACAGAAATCAGTCAAGTTTGAAGGAAAAATTATGGTTTGGGGTTACATTCAGTATGGGGGTGTGCGAGAGATCTCCAGATTGGATAGCACAATAGGATTTTGGTTCAAATAGATGTCTTAGGTTATTGTCCAAACCCTTCCTTTTCATTTGTCTTAATTCAGTTGTTGATTAGCACCACGGTTTTGATGGCAGCAATTTTTCACTTTAATTCAAATTCCATATTAATAGAGCAGTCACGCCTTGTATCTTTAAACTTGTGCTAGTTTTGATCACAGTTGTAGTTTTCTCCTTGGGCAATCACACAAGTGTTTTTTTGTGCCTGTCAAACCTGAATGATAGCTGTTTTTCTTTTAAGAACTTTTTCTTTTACCCTCCTAGTAACAAAGCAGGTTCTATCAACTTGCATGTTGTTGAAGGAATAGTGAAAATGTACTCATCAGTCATGTAATCTACACAAGCACATCCTAAACAGCTCTCAGATTTTTTGCAGAATGATCACGTTGCTCTTAACAAGATGACAAAGAGTCTGTTATTCTCCTGAAAGGACAAAACATAAACGACATAAAAATATTTGACCTTTCTTCATCTTTATTTAGATGTTGACATTACACTGTGTTCTCAATTTAGGTCGAAGAGGAAAGGGCGACACACACACAGTCATCGTACGACGTGGGCCTGGAAACAGAGAGAGCTGCACTAAAGGAAACATCATTGCACTCACAAGAAACCCCGCATGAAGAGAAGCACAAACAGGTGCCTGTGCAGTAAAACTATAATATCAGAAATCCTAACCAAAAACAACCCAGCTACATGATACAGAGTCTAGACAGTCTGTAACAAGCTGTCTGTTTAAACACACACACAGACATACAGCACCAAGCAAGCGACACATCATCACGCTCTCTCTCATTCACACACATACACACACACACACACACACACACACACACACACACACACACACACACAAACACACATACAAAGACAGCACCAAGCTAGCAACGCACAGCATCACACTCTCTCTCTCATTTACAAACGTACACACACACACATAGACAGCAAAAAACAAGCGACACAGCATCTCTCTCATTCACACAAATACATACGCATGCTTGCTCGCTCGAGAGTCGGGAGCGATATTGTTAGACCGCCCGCTCCCGTTCAAATTACACCGGTTACTGACCACCCCCACGCTTTATTCTAAAGTTTATTCCCGTGTTTCAAGAAATCTGGTTATGTCCTGCGACTTGCGCAGAACAGCCGTGGGACCCAACCAGATTTCTTGGGACGCGGAAATAAATTTCTGCACCAAGCAAGTGATTCCTTGAGCGTTCTTTCCTATGTATGGTTGCAACTTGCAGGTTTATGTCCCAATTTTGGTTCAAATAGATGTCTTCGGTCATTGTCCGAGGCAGACCTCTAACACAAGGATCAGTTCATGGGTCTCTGTTAACTACCTGATGATCTGAATCAGGTGTGTTAACTAAGGAAGACATACAAAATTTGCAGGGTGGGGGGCCCAAAGACCGGAATTGAGAACCACTGGCTTAGTATGTCCTAGGCTTATGAGCAAAAATATGAACAATGCACAGATGGATCAGCTGATAGATGTAACTTTCAGACACTCCAGTACTTATCAGTGTAATCTCTCAGTGAAGAACATCAAGCTATGATCATTTAGCTAATAGCCAATCACAGTCATATCTTTTGAGCACTTTTTACATGCCTACAACCTTAAGTGTCTTACGCATGTAATAGAGACAGAAGCAAATCTTATGTTTGATTAAGTTGCTTGCTTTGTCTTTAAAGTTGTTTAACTTTGTTTGGGATTACTGCAATGGAATGCAAGAGCTGATAGAGTGCAACCTAATCACTCTTGGTTGTGGAAGGCTGCGTCCAAAACCACCTACAACTCAGTAGGTACTACATTTGAATTTAAACGTACTACTCAGGTGTTAGAGAAGTACATTCAATACAGCATGGATGCAAGTAGTATGAATGGAACTCGGACGTACTACATCTGCCATTTTGTCATGATCACTTGACCTACCCACTTGAGTTGCGTCGCTTCACTCATCCATGAATTCTCTCGCTGGACATCATGGGATAGCGTAGTGTCCATACAATGCGCACTTCAGAATCTCGACATAAGTAGTAGGTCATCGGAGTACTTTTCGCATACTGATTTTCAAATTCTATGAATTCGGACACTTCTCTACTCACATACTGATTTTAGCGTACACGGACGCAGCCGAAATATTTCCCTTTTTTTTCTTCCCAAAGGGATTTTTTTAGAAGTCTGCATTAATACTGTTTATAAACTAAATCAGCTAGCTCCTAAAGTTAATCATTACATTGAAAACTTTGGATTAAAGCGGTTTTACTTTAGTTATTTAATATTATTATTAATAAAGCATCACAAAAATTAACAATAAACAATATATGTTATTTTTATTGCAAAATACAGATGTTTTGTATATAGATATTTATGTTGCTTTGAAAGAATGCCCTTTGCAGTGTCTCATGGGAAAGAATGCAACATATTTTTTCCTGTGAGTTTAATTTCTCTAATTGGTGGAAAATATCCTGATGAATCATTGGTTGTGTACTTTTCACTAAGAATACTGTTATTAAACAGTTGTTGAAATTAAAAGAATGTGGCCTAATGTCTTTAACAAAACCTTAACAACCCTGTAGCTCACAGTTAGAAGAGTTAAGTTTAAAATCAGTTGCCTTATGGAGGATTTGTACTTTCAGAACCTGACAGCTGTTGCACTCTATTGCAGTGATCTCATTTCTGCACCTATTTCATTAAATTTTCTCAATGACACAATAATTTTCTGTTGCTTAATCTGTTTGTCTTTTGTCTCTATCATAGACTGTGAATTTGGAAGAGGTGCTGGAGGAGCCACAGATTCAGCATGACTCTGCTCTCCCAGAGCTAGAACAACAACAACAACAAGAGCAGCACCCGGAAGGCCAGAGCTCACAACATCCAGACCAACAAGATTCAGCTCAACCACCAACATTTGCACAGCCTGAAACAGCACCGCCACTTTCCCAACCTGACCCAGAAGTTCCACAGGCCACTGCCACAGAGGACCAGGCCGCACAGCCCTCCACTGATGAAACCCCGCCACATCCTGACCCACACGCTGAAGAAGATGCCTCTGCACCTGCAGATGAACTCCAGAACAGCCCAGAGTCCACCTCACCTACCTCAGTCACCTCCTCTGAGAGCCTCTCCAGGTGAGTACACACACACACCAACCTGGGAATAGAGAGGAAGGGGAACTTTAATGTTTGTTTTATCCTTCATATTAATTGTCTGTGTTCACCTTCATTTTTAATTTTGTTCTCATATTGATTGACCATTCCTGAGCGTATAATCACCAATTTATGGACTTTGTACCTCGCCAGCTTTGGAGCGAGAACTATTGTTTTCGGTCACCTCACAGTGGATCTCACCTTCTTTGCTAGACCACTGTGGTGTGTTTATTTTTACTGGACTTGGAGAATTTATGAATCCATCATTTTCAAAAAGGACAAGATGGCTAGACTGGGATGTGTATGTATGTAATCAATCATTCCTGCGGGAACCATCATCTGCAGAACTCTGGACAAATCTCCACTCCGTAATTGGAGCCAGCCAGATTTCTTTCTCTCTCTTTCGCCTTCTCTCTCTTTCTCTCTCTCTCTCTCTCTCTCTCACTCTCTCTCTCTCTCACATTCTCTTGGTAAACGGCATATGATTTCTTTCCTTCAGTGGACTAGACGTCCCACGTCCTGATGCCGCTGTAGAGAACTCTAGTGCCAGTCAGTGTGAGGTGGGCTCTGTGCCCCCATTCAGCCAACAGCTTGGCACAACGCTCACCAGGTGAGTACTGACCAACAGGTAAACTGCAGGTAACACTGCGGTAACTCCCAGTACTCGCGTTGCATCAAGTGACTTGGTAACCAATTGTTAACCAAGTAACGGAGCTGCTTCAATCACATCAAGCCTCGACTACTTGCCTTGCCTTTTTATTTCTCATTCATTTATTTATGTTGTTCATTTGGGCAGTTTTCTCTATCAGTTGTTTTTCATCATTCACCATTTTAATGCTTGATGATTTTGCTTGAGTGAATAAAGATTTTATTGTTAATGTTGTAGCTGTTTACTAATGTCTCTTAATATCCCCTCTGTCTCTTTCTTTCCTCTGTTTTTACTACTCAATAGTGTTGTGGAGGAACAAGTGGAGACCCAAGCAGAGAACCAGTCCACCGTGTTGGAACAGAGTACGGAGACCAGTACTGATCCGGCTGACTCCCTGGACCCAAGTGAGCTGGACCTCACAGAGACAGGGCAGACAGACCGTATTCCTCCACCTACGGAAAGCCAGCAGGTACACTCAAAAACTATAGACCTGTTTGTTAGACTAATTCTAATTCTGCACATCCCAAAGGTGCTCTATTGGATTGAGATGTAGTGACTTTGGGGAAAACAGTCTTGTAAAGATTCACGCTTTGACATGGCATGTTATCCTGCTGGAAGTAGCCGTGAGAATATGGGTACACTGTGCTAATCAAGGGATGGACATAGTCAGCAACAACACTCAAGTAGGCTGTGGCATTGACCCGATGCTCAATTTGTACTAAGGGGCCTAAAGTGTGCCAAGAACATATCCCCCAAACCATTACACCACCACCACCAGCCTGAACTGTTGACACAACAGGCCAAATTCTGACCCTATCATCCGAATGTTGTAAAAATTTGAAGATTCATCTGACCAAGCAACGTTTTTCCAAACTTCTCTTGTCCAATTTTGGTGAGCTTGCGTGAATTGTAGCCTCAGTTTTCTAGAGTGACACCTGGTGAGGTTTTCTGCTGCTGTAGCCCATTTGTCTCAAGGTAGGATATGTTGTGCATTTGGAGATGCTCCTCTGCGGACCTTGGTTGTAACGAGTGGTTATTTGAGTTACTGTTGCCTTTCTTTTAGCTCCAACCAGTCTGGCCGATGTCCTCTGACCTTTGACATCAACAAGGCGTTTGCGCCCACAGAACTGCCGCTCACTGGATATTTTCCCTTTTTCCGACCATTTTCTGTAATCCCTAGAGTTGGTTGTGCGTGACATTACCAGTAGATCAGCAGTTTCGGCAATACTTAGACCAGCCCATCTGGCACCAACAACCATGCTCCCTTGCCATAATATATTATCAATATTTTGTCAGTATATGCATGCATTGTCAATTCATAATAACTTCACAGGTCATCCATTTAGAATTGTCCTGCCTTTAGTGAAATACATTAATTTTCTGGTAGAATGTATAATGCCGGTCCGTGCTACATCTTCCTTGTTTTCTTTTTTTTTCACATCACCTAAAAGAGAATGACAATAATAATCACTATATTTTACATCCCCCGAGTGTTCCTCTCCATACCTCCTCCCCATTATGTAGAGAGTGAAAGGGTTTGTATTTGATTACCACTGAGCCTGTCCACACCCTACTGTTAAAGAGCCACTCTCACACCCTAAATGGACAAGATGAAAGTGGAACAGAAAGCATGAGAGAAGAGGAACGGAAGAAAGGGGGGTAGACTGAAAGAGTGGGTCTGAGTACATCAGCGTGTTTGTTTTCCACAGGACAGCCTTGTAAATGTTTAATCAACCAGATGCTTGCTCAGCACTGCTGTTTAGTCACCGCCAGACATAGAGAGATGCAGATAATGAGGGAAAGAAAAGTGATTTGGGAGACCACTCTTAAAACCTGTGTGTTAGATTTTGTGCATGCTTTGAATGTCACGGTCACACAGTTATTTTTTTTTATACAAGAGTTACATAAGAGTCATTTACGGCTCAGTGCCCGTCGCATCCTAGTGTTAATTAGAAATGTTATAATGTTATAATCAGGATATTGTTTATTTTTTGTGTGTGTGGGAGAGGATTGATCACATTTCTGACACTTCACTATAGGTGACAAGGCCCAATCCCAATTCAATATTATACTCCATATACTGTTGCTTTCCCTTGGCTTGTCAACTGAAGTGTGAAGTGGGTAGGGATGAAAATATTCCCATTAGAAATTACTTCACCACTACACCCGCACGCATCATCGTATGTTGTCTCTAGCTCATATGTCACACCAAATGTCATCTGCAGTAGTCATTACAGACGGGGCAAGAACAGTTTAACAGATTATTTATCATTTGTTAGATTATTTTTATGAACTAGTTTTGTGCTGCATTTAGATTTTAGCAAACCTTTTCGGCTCAAACATACAACGTGCCACGTTTCTTCTGGTGTCCCTATTACAACTAGGGAATCATGTTCCTTTTTTCATGTAACCACAAGAAAACATCATTGACGTTATACCAGACTTGCTTTAAAAAGCTCATTTCCGGCCAGTAGACTTTGATTATCAGAATTGAATTTTTTTTTTTTTTGCCGGCAGCTAGTTCTCTGCAACTCTCACATGGTCGCCCACTGAAGCTAAGCAGGGCTGCACCCGGTCAGTATAGATAGGATAGGTGACCACATGGGAAAGCTTGGTTGCTGTTGAAAGTGGTATTAGTAAGGCCAGCAGAGGGTGCATAACTAGCGGTTTGTGTTGGTCCTAATGCCCCAGTATATTGATGGGGACTCTATACTGCTCAGTGAGTGCCGTCTTTCAGATGAGATGTTAAACAGTGATCCTGGTCATTAAAAATCTCAGGATGTCTCTCGATAAAGGAAAAAGAGTAGTGGTTTAACCCCAGCATCCTGGCCAAATTTGTCCACTGGCCTATGTCCATCATGGCCTCCTAACCATCTCCGTATCATAACTAGCTTTATAACTCTGTCTCCACTCCACTAATCAGTTGGTGTGTGGTTTGCAGTCTGGTGCAAAATGGCCGCCATTGCCATATATATATATATATATATATATATATATTTTTTTTTTTTTTTTTTTTTTTTACTTATGAATATAACAAAATAAATGAATGTTTGTAGCAAAAATTCTTAAGCTATTACTTGTGAGTCCTTGGTCACATTGGCAACCATGTTGGCAATCTAGTTCTGCAATTTTGGTGTGTTCAGGGACATTTTTCCTACTGTTTGGTAGTGTGGTTTCCAAAATATCTTTGTTTGAAGGGCTCTATGACACTTTCCCCAACAACGTCTGCAACCAAAAGATAATCGAGACACTCTTACTTCTTCATGTGAACATTTGAAATGGAGGCGTAGGAGAAAGTGGATGAAGAGGTAGAAATGGGATGTGACAGCACTTAAAATCTTGTATTTCACTCTGTCTGCCCGAATCAGACTCTTTTGGGGCTTTTTGGCTGACTGCCCATGTAGAATCAGCATCACAGTATACTCTGATTGGCTGTTTGGTTTATGTAACAAGTCAGCGAATGAGACTAAAAGCAAATGTGATGAAGCCGGCCACAGAATTCAAGATAATGTTGTTCATTCTAGTTTTATTTCTTTTTATCTATATACTTCAATATCCTGGTATACATATGTTCATAATGCCATGAGAAATCTGAAATATATAATGTAATCAACACCATTCAGAATTGTACTCAAAAGTATATGTGGCCTTGTTTGTGTTCAAAACAATTCTGCATTTAGAGCAAATGTGCATGTGTGGATATGATGCTCAGTGTTACAAAAAAAAGGGCATCTGCAAGACATCTACACAGAATGCCCCATATTAAATTAGTGAAATTGTGGTTCTGTTTTGTCATATTTGTTTGCTTGTTTGTTTGCAGGTGGCGGATCATGAAGGAGCGACAGACCCTCCTGTACCCAGTAAAGAAGACATCCCTACCTTCGATGAGTGGAAGAAGAAAGTGATGGAAGTGGAGGAGAAGAAAAGTAAGAGATGACTTTGGATCACGTGTGCGCTCACAGAGCTGCACGCTCCATCAGTGAATCATTGCGTGCTCTTGTGTTTCTTCCGTGTCACAGCACATTCACACGCACTTCCTTAAGGACAGATTTCTGCTTGACTTCACAGGGCTTTTCTTATATGCCTTTCCATTGTGAACCAGCTTTTTCTGTGCTTCTGTAATAACGCTTGCTCACATTTGTCAAGAGTGATGGAAGTGTTGCACTTGGAGAATGTTGCATAACCCAGTGCGCACTAATGTAGGCTGCTGTAATGGGTTGTTTCTGTACACAGCAACAAAAGGAACAAAGCTGGAAGCTCAAGGCTAGCACAGTAGTTTAACTCTTGCTTTGCATTTCCCAGCTGACAGTTCATGATTTAGGAAAGTCAACCAATTAAGAATCAACAGCTAACGGTATGCTAATTGGCCCTTATCTTATTAATGAGCAGGTGCAGAACACTTAATATAATTAGAGGGTTCTCAAAGAGTACACAGAACTTGAGTTTGGGTGAGGCGTAAGCACCCACAGATGTATTCAAGAATTTGTGTTATTTATAAACTCGTCTGCTTGACCTAAAATGTTATTTGAAAATTAGATAAGTTAAATCAAATTTAGAAACTAATTTGTCTTCGTATAGCCAATTTCAGGTTGTTTTTAAAAGCTGTGTTCAGCAGAATGTATGTTTTTTTATTATATGTTTGACATAATCTTAACTGAAAAATGAAGAGTGGGTGGGATGGTAGCTCCTCCCCTTTTTAAAAAACAGCCTTTTTTATCACAGCGCTGCCAGTGAGAGTGGTTGAGCAAATACTAAAAAAGCATTTGATTGGTCAGAAGATTTGGTAAGAAAGTAAAGTATAAGGTGACCTGAAAAAAAAAAATGCTGATCAATTTGGGTGGAAGTGACAAAACTGCAAGCTTTGGATGTTTATATTTTCTGAACGTGAACAAAGTCCCTTTAAGGCAAGTCATTTCACTCGGCGGCCATCTTTGAAACCCCTCTTGGGCAGTATGCTTGGGCATTCTGTTTGAATAGAGAAACATCAAACTCCCCAAAATTGCTTGCCAAGCTCATGATCGAATTTCATATTATTCAGCAATCATATTAATCACCAATAAAAGTAAACAACTGTCTACTTAGTTTTATTTCTAAACTTCTAAATCACACAAAATCACCCAAAACCTATGTCTGGTCCAAGCCCCTCCCTCAGAGTATTGTCAGTCTATAGCAATAGATGATTGGCTCCTGTACTAGAAGGCGGGGCTTTATTCACCATGTTGACAGTTACTGTACCTTCACATCGAAAGCAGCACGAGCGTCAAAGTAGCTGGAAGTCATTCATTTTTAATAAGCAGCGCGGTGCATCTTCGCCATTAATTTTATATTTTTATTTTCTTAAAAAAAGCGGGAATCTCATTCGACAATACAAAACAGTATTGCTGCTTTAGGATATTTCAGACTTATGGACACATTGAAAAATTAAGTGGAGCAAAGCCACACCACATGCAACTTGATCTTCTATTGTTAAATAAGTTTGATCAAAAGTGTGCAACATTTTCATGATAGAATGCAGGAATGTAACTGATATGATGCAACGGCCCCTTTAAATACGACATCGATGTTGTGAATTTTAGCGCTTTCGCCACCGGGGCTGAAGGCAGCGTTGTCGCCAGGGCAGTAAGAGCGATCTTTGATGCTTTCACCGCCTTCAGTATGAACGCACAGTTACACTTTTACATGCACCCTATTAAAAAAAAGATATGAGTGACATGTCTTGTATTTTCTAAAGTTTTTGATGCAAATTTAGCCACACCTTTGGGACCAAACTAGCTAATAGATATCCTTAACTACCAGACTGAAACTAATGGTATTCCCACACTTGTCATATTGCTTTACATCATAGTTACAAGCCTCTTTAACCACATTGAAGTGATTCGATATATAAACAAGAAATTAATATTATGGAGTTAAAGCCTATGCAATGGCATCTTTGTGGGGTTTTATGCAAATATAGCCTTTTTTAGTTTTGTTTAGTTTTATTAATTTTAATAATCTTAAGTTGTTTTAAAATGTTTTAATAATCATGTTCTATTGCAGTTATCTGATCTAATCAGTAGTAAATTAAAAAAGTGGTTAAAAATAAAACAGCAGTGTTTACACAGTCTACTGTCAGTTTTTTTTATTATGCTGTCTTTGCTTTTGCCTTATAGCAATTTAATGTTAAGATTTATAATGTGTATATATTACTTTTATTTTATGTCAAGCCTCTCTTGGACAGGTGTTGAGAATTAGCAAGTCTGCCAAAAACACTTCAGTGTTCAGTATAATTGGGATGTCATATAAACGATAAACATCAATTTATTTATTTATTTTAATTTCACAGGACCTTTAAAGCTCAATAACTTAGCTTTGTGTAGTTAAAATTCTTTATTAAAAACTTTACCATTCTTATTCCGTTACAGATGCTATTTGCATACATTAAGATCTGGATAATGTCCAGAGGGCAAAATTTGCTTTTGACAGATGACCTAAATGTTGCCTGTTTGCTTGGTTTCAGGTCAGTCTCTGCACACTTCATCAAATGGCAGCCCTCATCCAGTCAAAAAGGTCCAAAAGAATTTCAAGAATAACTACGCTTCCGTCGAATGCGGGGCCAAAATTCTTTCGGCCAACAACGAGGCTAAGGTAAATATGGTGCAGATGGTGGTAAAACAGCATTTGGAGCAGAAAAAAAAGATGGAGTAGTGTTCAGCAGGGGCATAAATGAGACAGTTGTTTGATTACTATTTTTGTTTCTGCATCTTCAGTGTTATTTATCCACTCTAGATCTAACATTGCCTGTGTGTTGCTGTGTTTTCAGAGCACATCTGCCATCCTGATGGAGAACATGGATCTGTACATGCTGAACCCCTGCAGTACCAAGATCTGGTGAGTCACTGCAGAGAAACAGACTGCAGCAGCTGCTCTCAGACTATGAGAAAACAATTTTACAGTGGGTCCTGCTGCAGAAAATTATAGTTGACGTAAATGTTTTAAATATGATGGCATTCGATCTAAATTTATACTTTTTAAAATTATTAAGCCAATTTGAATAACCTGGTAATTAAGCAATCACTGCTTAATTTGAATTTGAAAATGTATTTTACAAGACCAAACCCATGTATATATTGATTTTTACTGTCATACATTACAAAAATTTATATAATTAGCATTGTCATCATTTAAAATCCAGTAGATAGTTAAGCCTATTTGTCTTGCATGGACCTTTTGTTGTAAAAATTGCTGTGTATTTGTTACTAATCAAATCTATGTATCTGTATATTTGTTACTAATTAAATCTCAAAAGTCAATACAAATTATAGTTACTCATAAAGTTAAAGAAGATTACTCATAAATACCTTAGGCCTATTTTTTTTTTTTTTTTTACAAGTGGCTATTTTAGGAAATAGCAATATTTTTTTTAATTCATATAAAAACCCTACTGCACCCAACCCGCTTGGAGCTTGGATCAAACCAAGGATTCTTAGTATGGGAGTCGTTTTCTCTATCAAGTAGGCTAAAGACCATGGCCTCTAGTGTCCATCGCTATAACACCTTTAGAGTTCTGAGGAGTGAGGTTCACCTGCATAGCACTTTGCTAGCTAGCCTCTGTTACTCTCACCCCCCCAAACCTCACTCCCATCCCGGATGAGCCCCTTGGTCTTTCCACACCCAACCTGCTCTGAGCTAGGATCAAACTGGGGATTCTTTGAATAGGAGTCGGTTGTACTAACGAGGAGGCTAAAGACCATGACCTCTAGCGTCTGTCGCTATGGCACCTTTTGTTGTCTGAGGAGTGATGTGTACCTGCAAAGCACTTTGCCAGCTGGCCTCTTTTAAACTTACTCCTCATAAACCTCGTTCCCGTCCCGGACGAGCCCCCACATGTAACCTACTGGTCCTACTGCACCCAATCCGCTCTTAGCTGGAGTGAAACCAGGAATTCTTTGTATGGGAGTCAATTGCTCTAACAAGAAGGCCAATTTCTCTGCATGTAACAGTGTTGTGACAAATAAAGGCTTCATTATCATCATTTTCAAAAACATAGAAAGTTATACATTTTCAATCTCAGAAAACCATGTCCTCTGGTGTAACTAAATGTTCATTTTAAATCCTCAATTTCACAGACAACTTGAATTAGTTGAAGGACCTCAAGAATTGTTAAGTTAGTGCCTATTATATATATACTATTATATATATTTTCTGAAACGTCAAACTCCATAAACTATATATAAATGTAACTATAAATCTTCTAAATTGATGTTTTATCAAAAAAAAAACATAATTTACTACGTTGTTGTTAACTACCGATGTGTGTTAGTTTATATTACGAAAATATATAAACATCTCCAATTGGGGAGAGGGAAAGAGCCTATAAATTACTGTTTTGCTAAATAAAGCAATAAAATTCAGTGTTAGGAGACAAAAATTAAATATGTGAAATAACCTGATAATTAAAAAAAACATCAGAATTACAATAAACAAAGCAAAATGAGAAACAATAAGATTTGTCTGAATTGCAAGATATAAAGTTTAAAAAATAAAACAGATAAACGATATATACAAAATATAAACTTGAAATGTCAATAAACAGTCAAAATTGTGTTGTTTGCACTTGTGAGGTGAATATAATAAATAAGAGATATTTTTATTTGTGTACACTGATTTTCTTTATGTATTATCTCTGTTAATCTCCCAATGCAGGTTTGTTATCGAGCTCTGTGAGCCAATCCAGGTGAAGCAGCTGGACATTGCAAACTTTGAGCTGTTCTCATCCACACCAAGAGACTTCCTCGTGTCCATAAGCGACAGGTAAAATTGTACTTTCAAACCGAATGCAATTCATACGTCTCTCCAATGTGGATGAGCTTTATCACTGATTGCAGTAAATTTAATTTGTTCAAACTCCTGCTTTTTATTAAACCTTTAATGTTGTGCTTGGTGTTTGATCACGTCACACTGTGTTTTTACATTCTCTATAGAATTGATCTTTTAATTTTAAAAAGTAATTATTTTTCAATTTCAGGTATCCGACTAATAAGTGGATCAAGCTGGGCACGTTTCACGCCCGTGATGAACGCACAGTACAGAGCTTTCCCCTAGACGAGCAACTCTATGCCAAATATGTGAAGGTAAAAGACGGAGCAGCTGCTACAGTTTACTCAAATAAATTGTTGTGTAAACATCACTTTACAGAGATCAGCGATGTACCATAATGTTTATCCTTAATTTAAAAAAAAGTAATGGTTACATGACAGTGATGCAGTCGAAAACCAAAATGGTTTTTCCTTTTTTTACATTTTTTTTTTTATAAAACTTACATTTTCACGACAGCGATTGTTGCCAAAATTGTAATTTTTCTCCTTTGTTTAAAAAAATACTAATTATTCAGGTTTACACAACATTTTATAGCTGGACAGTATTTGGTGCTGTCACCTTGTTAGTAAACAGTACGTGCAGGGAAGTGACAATGTGCCACCGACTTCTGGTGTGTATGTAGTATTGCAGTGTAATTTTAAGTAAGTCCACACTTTGCTAATGTGGATAGCATTAGCAAACACTTAATCAGCAACAATACTACCACAAAAACCACCCTAAAATGTACCATGCACATAGATAATGTCATGCTTTTCAAAGATTCTCATTTTTGTCCATTTATAAAAATTACCAGTTTCAAACCCATTTACAAACTTAAAGGGTTAGTTCACCCAGACATAAAAGGAAGATATTTTAAATGAAATCCCAGCAGCAACATTGTCAAAACATTCCATCTGGAGTCATACGAAGCTCCAAGAACACGTTTGTGTTTCCAAAATCTGTAAAAATGAATTTGTTTTTGGATGAACTGTGCCTCTAACACCCTTCAACTGGCAACAAAGCTTAAGTTTGCCAGGTATATGTAGTAGTGTTCTAACAACCTGAGAAAACAACATGCTTAAACACTATTTTCAATATGCCACTTATCAATCAGTACTCTGCATCTTTCACTCTGATCTTTTGAGGTGAACTGCTCATAATAACTTTTTCCAGTGTGTCAGTAAACAGTCCACAAACTTGTCAATGCTAACAAGTGCAGCGAGTCACTTGTAATGTACATTTGAAATGCATTTTCACAAGTTTGTATTCAGATTAGTGGGGGGCCGTTATCAGCATTAACATGCTGCATTAAGGCGAGACTCTTATCGGGCGATTAAAAAAAATTCTGAATTAAATCAGCAGGATGCCCTTTTGGATCTTTCACTTACTTCGAAGACACTACTGACTACGCCTACACGGACATCTGTAATCTAGTTATTTTGCCTTAATAGACAATAATATATAGTTAAGGTGTTTACGTGAAGTGCTTTCATGTGAGAGTTTCCTGTAATTTTGGGTGACTTTAACTGCAGTTCGGTGAACATTTCATGAACATTTCATTCATACCCTGTGACAAACTGGGATATTTGATGCAAATAAGGAGTGAGGACAGGTGAGAGTGTTAAGGAATTTAATACACACGCCGAATGGAAAGAACTTCCGCATTTCATGATGTGTTTTTGTGTGTGTGCAGTCTTACTGACAGCTGCTTGTGTGGATCTTGTCTGAAAATATTGTAAAGTCCTACATGACGCTAGTTGTTTGATTGCAGTGTTTACTTCATTAATGCCACTAATATCTGCACACTCCACATCTTAATTCCATTTCTGTTTAGTTCAGTTATGACTTTAGTCGGATTAAGGTTATCAAAAATCGCTGTTTCAAGCTTATGGAGGCCTACAGTTCAAAATTTATGTTTAACTGAATAAGCAGTTCGTAAACACAAGTACATCTTATTAAACAATTTATTTTCATCACCGATTATCATAGTAGAATAGTTTCTCATGCAGTCTGTGATGCATGTTGCATTTTGATGTCATTATTTGTGTAGCACACATAGGCTGCGTCCGAAACCGCATACTTCCATACTATATAGCACGCTAAAATCAGTATGCAAGCCGAGTAGTATGTCCGAATTCATAGAATTCGAAAAACAGTATGCGAGAAGTACCCGGATGACTCACTACTTCTGGCGAGATTCTAGTGTGCGCATCCCATGCATGCTGCGTTATCCCATGATGCCCAGCGAGCAAATTCATGAATGGGAGTAAAGCGACGCAATTGATGCAGGCAGGACACGTGACCATGACAAAATGGCGGATGTAGTACGTCCGAATTCCATTCATACTTTTCACATTCATACTGTATAGAACATACTTTTCTAACCGCCGAGTAGTACGTTTAAATTCAAATGCAGTACCTACTGAGTAGTAGGCGGGTAGTACGCAGCCATATTCTGAATGCCTTAGAATTGAAATGAGCCATTTTAATCTAGATTAATTCCAAGATTACAGTGTGATTAGTCTAGATTAAAAAAAAATGTTCTATGCCCACCTGCAATTCAGATGGTTTATAAATCTGAGTACTTCAAGTTAGACATTTTCCTGGGTTAGGCCCTGTTAACACATCTTATATTAGAAAACATATTGGAAAGCACAGACGTATTAACTAGAACACAACTAGAGCATGATGTGATTGATCTGTGCTAGTTTGTTACATTTAAGACATGAACATATTGAAAAGGATCACCCATGCAATTTTTCGATCACCTGTGATCCAACCCCCAACAAAAAAACTAAATAAAATAAAACAAGAATCGCATTACCCAAGTGTGTTTTAAATGTGGTCAAATAAGAGGTAGTGAAAGAGGGAACAGTTTAGTCTTTTGAGGAGAGCTGTGCCTTTCCCTGAGGCCTTTAGAGTCTCATGACTGTATTGTTCACTTTAAATCTGTTGTTATATGATGTTGAATACACACACGGTCATGATGCAGTATAGATTAGCATTTACGTATGAGTTCATGATTATATCAGTGTATTAAATGTCCAAATGGTGATTGTCTTAGAAACATTTTTGTTATGTTGGTTGAAAGTCTCTTTACATCCCACTTAAAGCAATAGTTTATCCAAAAATGAAGATTTACAGATCATTTTTAAAAGATTTTTTTTCTTCAGAAAAACATTGAGTTAAGTAGCCTCAATGTGCGTGTGTGTATGTATGTGTATGTGTGTGTGTATATATATATATATATATATATATATATATATATATATGTATGTATGTATATGTATGTATGTATATGTGTATATATATATATATTATCATGCTTTCAAAGATGTCCTATTGCACCTTACGTGCTCAAATGTAGAGGTAGAAACTGAGGGTGCTCACACCTTTAAATCGATTCAGTTGTTTCGAAACAGGAATTAAAATTGTTACATGGTTGCTCTTTGTTCTTGGTGCAGTTCGCTTTCACACTGTAAAGTTTCTAAACGGACCAAAAGAGCTAAAACAAGTCACATGTAGGTAAACTCTCCTCACATTGGTCAGAGTTTTATGGTTTATTTTGTCATAAACCATGTCATAAACTGAGTCCCACTCAGCTGTCAGGGCAGGTGGTTGTTTGGTGGTGTTTGACAAGGTGCGCGCGACATGTCTGAAGAGCGAAAAGGGATATAGTGGGGAGGGGTAAGTAGGACGCGGGACGTATTTGAGGACCGGGAGGGAGACGCGTGATTACCGGGAGATTGTCACTTGTTTGTTGGCATCCAGGAGTCTCTGTGCATTTGCGGGAGACTTGGGATGTCTGTTGAATGACCTCCCGCCCTACTCATAATTCTCTCTTCATATAGCCTTATACCTATTACATATCTATAAAACACTGTGATATAACCGGGCTCTGATCGTATCGCTTTCTCACTACAATCGATCTATTCCAGAGTTAGTTTCAATTGAGCCGAGACCACTTCATTTAAACGAACTCGGAGCGATTGTTTTGGCCCAGATCCAAGAGTGATTGGTGAATTCACAAAAGCCAAGCGAACCGCACTAACTGGGCAAACAAGACAAAAGTGTAGCTGTGAAAGCACCCTGAAATTCACTGTCTTAAAGAAGTAAAACAAAAATTGCTTAAAAGACATTTTTTGATTGGTCTTAAGTACTAAACAAAGCAAATTTGATTTTTCGCATATGATTTATTTTTTATTTGCTTTTATTTTTTAACTGCAGGGTTCATAACTGTGCTTTTCTTACTGCTGTGCTTATTGTTTACATTTGCTTTGAATTTTTGCTTTGAAGTAATCCTATCATAATTATCTACTGTAACATGTCAGGATTAATGTGTCTAATATGGATCCCCACTATGCTTTGCCATTATTGAGCTGCTTGAAACCTGTTCTCTCATCTCTACTGAACTCCTGTTATGTTCATTTCTATCATTTTGTTTTGGTTTACTTTTTGTTCTCCTGCTCTTTTTCCACTGTGCTTTAAATGTCTACCTATCTATCTATCTATCTATCTATCTATCTATCTATCTATCTATCTATCTATCTATCTATCTATCTATCTATCTATCTATCTATCTATCTATCTATCTATCTATCTATCTATCTATCTATCTATCTATCTATCTATCTATCTATCTATCTATCTATCTATCTATCTATCTATCTATCTATCTATCTATCTATCTATCTATCTATCTATCTATCTATCTATCTATCTATCTATCTATCTATCTATCTATCTATCTATCTATCTATCTATCTAAATGTCTATCTATCTATCTATCTATCTATCTATCTATCTATCTATCTATCTATCTATCTATCTGTCTGTCTGTCTGTCTGTCTGTCTGTCTGTCTGTCTGTCTGTCTGTCTGTCTGTCTGTCTGTCTGTCTGTCTGTCTGTCTGTCTGTCTGTCTGTCTGTCTGTCTGTCTGTCTGTCTGTCTGTCTGTCTGTCTGTCTGTCTGTCTGTCTGTCTGTCTGTCTGTCTGTCTGTCTGTCTGTCTGTCTGTCTAATGCTCTATCTATTTAATGCTCTGTCTATCCGTTCTCTCTCTGTGTCTATCTCGCAGCTCAGGTCATGAATGCAGATCAAACGAGAACAGTTTAAAATGCTTGACTTGCTACAGCATGAATCGAGTCTTTTATACTGATCTTCCTGTCTGTTTTTCTTTGTTTCCACTCTTCTCTCCTGTCTTCTCCTCCCGCCTCAGATGTTCATCAGATACATAAAGGTTAGCGCTCTCCTCTTTAGATCCTGTCAGTGCAGCTTTTGATGGCAGGACACATACAGTAATGCATGACACTTACACTTTCTGCAGGGACAAACACACACATGCATGTCTTTTGTAACAATCAAAAGGGAAATATCATGCTTTGCTAATACTTTACTCTTTCTTGATTTGATTTTACACCATTGGGGCATCACTAAAATTAGCTTAGTGTTATAAGGTGTTGTTTTTAGATTTTGTAAAAAGGGGAAATGGTTGTTTGTTTTTAGTGTTTGACTGAATTTGTGAGTTTACTTTTTCTTGTCTTTTTTTATTTTTATTTTTTAGGTTGAGCTGCTGTCTCATTTTGGCTCTGAACACTTCTGTCCTCTCAGTCTGATCAGGTCGGTTGAATTTATTTAATTTTAAACAATGCCCAAACTGTAGATAACCTGTATAACATGGCTTACATGTAATATACAGTTTTATGCAAAAGTTTGGCCACCCTGATAATTTTCATAATAGTAAGCCATAGCCTGCTGACCTATCAAATCAGCAATTTCATTTGTATATATTTTATACCCCTGAAATAAAGCAAAATTTAAGTTTGTACATAACATTTATTTAATTAACAGATTCAATACAATTTAAGTCTTAACAAAAACAGACAGGTGCAAAAAATGTGGCTACCCCAGCAGAATAATGACATCAATCTTTTGTACAGTGACCTTTTGCTGAGATAAAAGCATGTAGATGCTTCTTATAGCCAAGGATAAGTCCCTAAATTCTTGCTGAAGGCATTTTGGACCATTATTCCTTGCAAAATTTCAAGTTAATCCTTGGATTTTCAATGACGTTCAAGTCTGGGGAATGGGATGGCCATTCTAGAACATTGTATCGTGTCTGAGAAAGGATTCCTTGTTAGAACTGTACTTTAGGTCACTGTCCTGCCGAAACATATAATCTTGCCGTAACTTCAGCCTCTTGACTGATTCCTGAACATTGTTCTTAAGAATCTGCTGATACTGGGTGGATCCATGCAACCTTTAACTCTGACAAGGTTTCACCATGATGGACCCTCCACTATATTTTACAGTAGGCAGCATGTTCTTCTCCTGGAATGCTGTGTTCTTGTTTCGCCATGCAAAGCATCTATGGTTGTGGCATCTGTCCACTGTATATTTTTCCAAAATAATTCAGGCTTGTCCAGATGAGCCTATGCATACCTAAAACGACTCTTCTTGATGGCAAAACATAGAAACTTTGTATCATCTTTCCACTGAGCTGTTCTTTGTGAAGGGCGCGCTGGACTGGGAAACAATGCACAATGACATTATCAGCAGCAAGATGTTCTTGGAGCTCTTTGAAGAAAGCCTGTGACCATCCTAACCATTCATCACCTTTGCCTTTCATATTTTTTCATGGCCTATTACATCTATTCTTCATAAGAACATTTCCTGTGGCCTTCCATTTTCTTATTATATTTCTGACTGCGGAGATAGAGATTTTAAACCCTTATGATAGCTTTTTGCATTCTTCTTCTAATTCATGTTCGTGAATTCAACTAGTTTTTAGGTCATTAGGAAGTTCTTTTGAGGTTCCTATGTTGCTACTTTCAGGTTCACAATAAGGGGAAGCACAACCACAACTAGGAATCAGTTGTCTTAAATATCCCTTTTCATGACTGGTTGCACCAACGTTAGGATTGTTGAGGTTCTCTAAGTCACTCAAGTTTGTGTTGTAATTAAAATAAATATCAAATTTGTGTTTTAATCAATCAACATTAAGTGACTACAGGTTTTGAAATCCGCACAAAAGCAAAGGTGCCTAAACTTTTGTATAGGCGATTTTTCAGTTTAACTTTACACATCTCAATACTGCTAGATTATGGATTTCTGTGTAAAAAAACACAACATTATCTAGCTTTCTCTAAAAACTGAACAGTATTCCACAGTGATCTTCTCCTAAAAAGAAAAAGCACATTACTATGCAGCCACTGAGGGGTGCCCAAAAGTTTGCATGCCAAAAATGTTTCTTGATTTATAAATTTCTAGATATTTAGACCATTTACAAAACCTTTAAGTAATAAAATATATATTTCATTTCACTGATGTTGTTTTTGTGCTGAAATCTTTCACAAAATTTCACAAACTTGTCAGAGGATTTCTTGCTATGCATCGTAATATAAAGTTGTTATTTATGCATTTGTTTGAGAGTAAAAGTATAAAAATATGAAACACTGCTCAAAAAATATCTAATCACAATATTTTAATAATGTTTTTGGAAAACTTCATATCAGCAAATACTTTCTTTAACCAAATTATACTATAATGAGTAATGAGAAACATGCTGATTCTTATTTCATGATTCTACTCGCATTGCCCTTTAAATTTCATTGACTTAAAGGACACAGCACAGGATTTTTTCAAAGCAACGTTTTTGATGTGTGCTAATGTCTGTCCTGCCTCGGGCTCCTCTTCTGGTCCGTTTGCATTGGCAGGAGGTTTACAGTTAGTTGGGGGCCCATAGAGGGGATTGGTCTCCCTGCAGTCTGTCAGAAACACTCTAGCACTCTAGGAAATTTCTGTATGAGCTGTAGTACGCATGCAAAAACACCAAGGCCAGATAGAGAAGAACTTTTCAAGTGACCTTGTTTTCTAGCCAGACTTGTACTGAACATTTTGTTTGATTTGATCTAAAGTCTGAGAATCACAAGAAGCTACCGTCTAATCGCTGTTATTTTACAATCCGCATGATGCAAATTGTTTTATAAGGGATCATGTGCAACCCTTGTGGGTGCATAACGTTTCTTCCAGATTCCCTTTTGTATGTCTTCCTGAGACTGGTCATTTAAGTGGAAATCTGCTTTTATTTTCTTCTGTGCGAGTCCCCTGTAAAACCTGTTTTTAAAGACCCCCACTAAGCTGGGCAAAGGTCAGAGTGATTCTAGATGTTTTATAGAATGCATAGATAAGCTGTACTGAAGATCACAGAAGGTTTTTACAGTAGTATTTCTCTCCCTGACGCCTGATGTCTTATCTGTACACTGACCGTTTGCTCTTTAAGATAATACAGCAAACATTTTTTTACAAATGAGCCGTTTGCATTTTTTGTATTGATTTTCATATTTGCTCTGTTAATAATCTTTGTGATGCTCATGTTTGTTTAATTCTGTGAATATCAGGGTGTTTGGCACCAGTATGGTGGAGGAGTATGATGAGATTGCAGACTCTCAGTACACGTCAGAGAGAGCTGAATATCTGGATGAAGATTATGGTGAGATCAAATCTGCAAATGCTTCCACACAGGAAGTCAACACTATGACAAAAATATACAATTTATGATTCATGTTGTGCAACTATGTGCTGTTTTTAGAATAAGTACAAACAGTGTAATTTTAAGCTTAAGAATTTGTATATTTTTAACACTAAAAAAAAAAGTCACATGGCACTTTTCGCCCCATTTATATGCATGTGAATGCACTAGACTGGAAATCTAAGCTTGTGCTAAAATTTTTGCATTTCACTGCATTCAAAAGCTGACGCTGGGTGAATTCCGACGTGTGAATTTGTTATGTTAATGCATGAGGCCAGCAGAAGATCAAAACATGACTTCTCTGCACAGAAATGTAAAATATGGAGGAAATCGCTCATTTAATTAGCGTCACATCATCTTGTTTCATTCTGTCTCTTTTTGCAGCACCATTTGAACAAATTTGGCATTCTTGAACTCTAGCTTGAATTTGATGTTATAATGTTTGTTCTGTAGATGTAAAATTGTGTTTTTTTGTAAACAACATGTCAGTGGTCATTAGCAATACTTTACTTTACTACTTTTCAACAGTACAATTTTGTTTATCTTTGTGAACACTAAATTAGAGATGAAAATTAATTTCCATTTTTTATTTATTTATTTAGTTATTTATTTAGTTATTTATTTAACTGCTTAAAAGTAAAAAATCATTAAATCAGTTAAAGGGTCAGTTCATCTAAAAATGTAAATTCTTCCATTGATTACTCTGCCTTCAATTGCTCCAAACCTGTTGAACACACAAAAAAAAAAAAAAAATTGAAGAAAGCTGGAAACCTGTAACCACTGACTTTCATTTGTTTTTTCTACTATGGAAGTCTATACTAGGTTTCCAGATTTCTTTAGAATGTCTTCTGTTTTGTTTAATAGAATAAACAAAATCAAAAAGCTTTTTAAACACTTCAGTGTGAGTAGATAATTAGCAAATGTAAAAAAATTTTGTGAACCATCCCTTTAAATTTGATAATTTTTAATGCTAATGACTATAAAAAAAGTTTGTTTAATGACTAGCATATGACCTTATAATAATTCACTTACTAAATTCTGAATTAAAAAGATCAAAATAAATGTCAGTAATAAAATTGGAAATTAAAAAATCACAGGTATCAGAACGCTTCTAGTCCTTTGTTGTCATAGTTATCACAATGTTAACGTTTTAGCAATTTCAGGCAATTTTGATGCTGATATCGCTTCAAATTAGTCACAGGGCAAACTCTATAAATCTCTTGTTTATTTTATATAAAAAAAATACGTACACTGCTGGTCAAAAAAGCTGCAAATTCATCTTTAAAATCACTGTAATAAATTATTAAATTAAATTATAAACTACTTTTAAGCAGTTATTTTATAGTGTAATAACATTTCACATTTTACAGTTTGTACTGTATATTCTATTAAATAAATGCAGTCATGGTTAGCAAGAGAAGCTTATTTTAAGACATTCAAAAATCACACTGACCCTAAACTTTTGACCGGTAATTTAAGTGTAAACACTCAACTCATTCTGAATCAACATGGTTAAGTCTCAGTTCAGTACACTTAATAGCACTTGTTTTGCCCGTCTTTCGCTTTGTTTTCAGTTGATCTACAGGTCTATTGCCTAATGCTGTTATCCTAACTCCAGACTTCTTTTTTACAGATTACCCACCCGGCTACCTGCCGTCAGAGGACAAGGCATCAAAGAATCTGCTGGGCTCTGCCACAAGTAGGTCTTGTTCTTCCAAACCCTGCTTCACTGTTGATTACATCAGTGTATATAATAATGGATGCCCACAAATAAGATTTTATATATGGTTACTCTATCTAAACTATAGCAGGCGGGATTACATTAATAAGTGTCTCCTCTAGGATTTTTTTTCAGCTGTGGCGGCAGGCCTTTTACACAGATCTACCAATTACTTGCTGGCATTATTTCAATAGCTATTTTCCATTCACCTATTTTTATACGCGTTTTGCATATATGCATAAAACAACGGTTGATGGAAATGCCAAGATGCGCATACATTTTGAAAATGCGCATAAAAAAAAAATATTCGCATAACTAAGTAGTATAAACTTTTTATTCGATAAAAAAAAGATGCGCATAAACTACGATGGAAACACTTTTACCGCACAAATTGCAGTATGTGCACTAAAAAAAGGAGATCATGTGATGATAAAAATGTGTGTGAATGAACAAACCAGCAGGCTGAGCACATTGTAAACCATCTGAAATGTTGTTTTGGTCATTGTAAAACTCCTTACACTTTCACTATTAGTGCTATTATATTATTAATGACCTCCAGAATCAAGAGCGTCAGTGCTTCGCGTCTGACACCTTCAAAAGCTACCGCACGTTCACTGCGTGTCAGGATTGCCTTTTAAGGCACAAGTCATTTATTAAATAAAGAAAAGTTTCACACAGCTTCTCCTACTGCAGCAAATTCCCTTTTTTACTGTGGATATTTGGCGCCAGTTAATCAGGAAGTGATGAGTTTGTTTGCTTTGACTTTTATGTAATAATCCAGTTTTGCGCATAAAGTTAATTAGCATTTTTGGATGGAAACATAGCTATTGAAAAGTCGTGTCTGAGTCCACTACATCCTTTCAGAGGTGCATCCAGCTCTGGGAGCTCATAAACTCCTCCAGAAACTTAACCTGGATGACGGAGGGTTTCAGCGGTGCTTCTGACTGAGCCAAGCCGAGTTTGATGAACTGTTGTCGGTGAAGGCTGGAGGTTCTATGTCACAATCACGCCCCCACAAGAGCAAGCTTCTGATTGGTTAACGCGGCGCGAATGTCCGCTGAAGTTCAGATTTTCGAATTCGAGAGATTCGCGCGAAATGCTCGTTAAGCCCGTCAAACGCGCAAAACGCTCAATTCGCACCGCACCATTCGCGCAATTTGCGTCATTCGCGCGTATCGCGCCGCAGGATGTCTATTCTCGAGTTTGCATTGACTTAACATGTAAATCACTTGCACTTGATGCGTGTGCCGCGTCTGGTGTGAACGCAGCATAACAAGTAGAGATCGCATTTTTGTAATATGAGCATGCAAATCTCTTTGCTTGCACGCCAACATCCACTGTCCAAAAAACCTCTTGCACAACCCCTCAAATATACGCTGCTCAAGTGCTGTTATAATTCACTTACCTTTTAATATGTTGTGGTGTGATTTATAACTTGCTATTTAAAAAGGTGACGGAATGTTTCAAATGATAAGCTGTAATGTAGCCATGGCAGGATGAATTTTGGTGTGGTACTCCGCCATGAAGAATGAATGTAGGTGAACCCATGAATATTGACATTTTTTAAATGTAGTGAAATATTTAAGTTGTGCAAAGCTACCGTGGCAAGTTCTTTTGAACTTTTCTGTTTCCTATAAAGACTGTCTTGTCAGAAATTAATTACAAGTCACAGATTTATTGCAAGCAAACAAACTTTTGATTGAATTTATTCCAAATTAGTGTTGTTGTTAACTAAAACAGTCCATAAATGTGATGAGAAAAGTTAAATATTTATTTATATTTTTATTATAATTAGTTGAATTTAGTTTTGAATTATCTAAATTTAAATTAAGTAATAATTTGATAAAATGAACAAAACTGATATAAAACTATATATTATGGTTAAATACAAAAACACTAATTAAACTAAAAATTATGGCAAAAACAAGTCAGAGAAAATTTTGTTTACTGAATTAACTATTAAATAATGATAAAATAATTTCTAACATTACATCTATTTACACTCCTTGTATGCACTTGTAATTTTAAAAATATAAACTAAGTAATTCAATCAGACATTTATATTAAAGATAGTAAATCGACTGGACACATTTGAATTCTTACTATTTAATTCAAAACAAAGATCATTATGTTTCAATGTTTTCATGATGATTTCAACAAAGAATCATAAAAAAACATTGATATAAAACGTGTATAAAAATAAAAATAAAAAAATTAAAAAGTGAGTCTCTCAAAGCCTTGCAAATACGTGTTACATTTGTTAACTGTATTCCCCATTGTTTTCCTTTCAGATGCCATCCTGAACATGGTAAACAACATCGCAGCAAATGTGCTCGGAGGCAAACCGGAGCTGGAAGACGGAGCTGAACTGGAAGGTGCGGACTTGATCTCAGCAACGCCCTTATTAAATCCCCCCCGCAATGAGTCTGTCCTGAGAAATTACCCCACTCATTTGCTGCTCTTTGCTTGGCAGCTGTTTGTGACTAGTAAGTGCTGTCGCCTTGCCAACAGCGCTGGAGCTGTGAGGCCTGCCAGTGAAAGCACGTCTTTGATGGTTTCTGTAGCAGCGATTGCCAGCATTAAACTCTTCCAGGGTGTGTGTGTGTTTGTGCGTGTTTGTGCGCTCAGAGAGAACTGCTTCAAAATGCTGTTCAAACATGCATGTGGCTTTCCTAAATGCAGAAGTAAAGTTTAAAAACACTCTGCTGCTCTGTATCATGGTCATAAACAGTGGGACTGCAAAGCCAAAAGAGAAAAGACTGTTTAATGAGGTATTTTTACAGTGTCCCTGAAGAGATTGCAGGAGAGTGGACAGCTCAAACTCTATATTAAGTTTGTAAAAGAAAGCCTTTTTTCTTTTCTTTTTTTTTGTCTTTTTTTTTTTTTTTTACTGTTAGATTGTGGCCAATATGAGTTTTTTTTTATAGCCGGTATAAATATCTTTAAAGTAGAGTGGCCTGTAGTTGATATGATTTATTTACAACATATACACTTGAGTTATGTGACTGCATTAAGACTAACAGAATGACTATATCATTTAGCAAACTGAGTTGTATAAGCAAATAAAACGACACTAGATATTATATCAGTCAAAATGTAATGAGAAGTAAATATATATTTAATTATTACTTAAATTTAGATTGAGATAATTCAAAACTAAAATGTTCAATTAACTGAAATAAAAGTTAAGTTGTACGTTAAAATTCTTTCACATTAATAAAACTGAAATGAAACGATTTATATAATTATAGTTATGGCAAAGACAAGTAATTGAACAAAAAATTGTTTACTGAGTTTTTGCAAATTTACAATACATTATGGAAGAATGATTAAAAAAATTGTGAACGATACATCAATTTACAGCCCTTTTATGTGCTCTAACATATAAATAATACGACATTAAATCAAACATTACATATTATACATTAAACCTCTTGTCCTATAATCACAATAACCTTTTTTTTAAATAAGAAACAAAGTTTTATCTTTCAAATCTTTGCAGTTTTAAGGGAAATTCAATTATTAAATTAAAAAAATATTAAACTTTTGGCTCTAATCTCGAGTGTCACATCGCTGTATAGGCATCTCAGTTCAAATCAATCATTCAAAAATTATCTGACCTTCATACATTTTTTTTGTGCCTATGCACACTTGAATTTTGAGATGTTTTATATTTTGCTTACCTGCAGCACATTTAAAATGACTTTCTGCAATAGATTAAACAAATTCAAAGCTATTACTAATGCCAATATGTAATGTCCACTTGCCTGCCTTTCACAAAATTAATTAAAACTACCATGTAAACATTGCAGAGTGTCCGCAGGGTTTTAACGTCTTAAAGTTTTAAAGTCTTGAATTTACTGAAATATTGTGCTACCCTATTGGGCCGGCATCTGTCCAATCACCAACAATCAATCTCAAGAAAACCTATTTTTAATATTTTTTTAGTTTTTTTTTTTATTTCAAAGATATACAAATCACAATAGATATTTGACATTTTTTACAGCAACGTCTCCAATTGAAATTCCATAATCAGAAAAAGAAAACTAAAACAATTACACATTTCCTCATGATAATAGCAGAGCATAATAAATACTTTTAACAATCTTAAACTTGTCATAAAAAATAAATATTATGTTTAAAAAAAGTTTATACAATTAGTTTTCTTGTTTTATCACATTAAAATTTCACTACAAAATAAATATATTTTTATTTTATAAATTTTTTTTATGACAACTAACCAGGCCATTAGAAATAATAAAATAATATTTTGCCCTCTTTAAGTCTAACATTTAATTTATAATGGTCTAAAAAGCTCTTTAAAAGTCTTAAATTTAACTTGATTAAACCCGCAGAAACCTTGACATAGTGACATCATTAGTATTCTGTCATGACACCTTTCAGAGGAATTTAATATTGTAATTAATATGTATATAGCAGTGATTTTACGATTTGGTCTTGGTGGAGTAGATCTGCAATGCTGCTGCTGCAGCTTTGATGATTAGTACAGGCATGATGACTAAGAATATAATACACTTCTGCTGCGAGCGTAACATGCATGAAACCCCCTGTAGCAGATATATACATGGGTGGAGGAGGGATCCAAAAACACACAGCACAAACAATACTGAAGCATTGAACTGTTGAGTAGCCAGCTCATTGGCTCATGAGGCACTTTTTTAAAACTGTTAAGACGGCAAAAAATTTTAAAATCCTTTGACCTTGCAAATTAGATATGCGCTCCGAATCACTGATTCAAAACAAAACATTTCATAAAGGTTTCAAAGCCTCGTAATGCAGTGCTTTGAAAGCAGCCATTTTAGTATCATTCACAACAGAAATGATTGTGTACTGTACCGCTTAGTAGAATGGAGCCATTAGTGTAAATTTCCATTTTAAATCCTTGAGATTCCTAAACTAAGACTTTATCTAGAAAATCAAATCTGTAAGTATGTGACAAGAATTCCAAACATGCCATTTTGCCCCAATGAATTCCTTTCCAAAAAAAAGCATCTCTGCAATTTTTCAGATGTCCTTGTTTGTTTTTGATGAGTTTCAAACCATTCCAGGCATCACATAATTTCACTCTTTCAGAGCTCATCACCTGTTTCTGGTTTGAGGAACATTTGTGTTTGTGCGTTTAATTTTGTGCACTTTTCTCTCAACAATGAGCCTCTTTGTGTCGAGGAAGGGCAGTGTGGAAACCAGTGTTCACATTCTCCTTTTCCTTTCTCAATGTTGAAATCTGTGCTTTCAGGAAATGTTTCCTCTGGGACCGAAAACGTCACACAGGCATCAACAGAAACCACACTTACGCCAGATCCGACCCCCACTGAACAGCCCCATACGTGAGTCTCATTCATACACACTAAAACCTCAAACGCTTGCTCAATCCTGAGCCTCAAGCCACTCGACATATTCCAGCACAGACTGGTTTGAACCCTTTGCTCGCATACCAAGTCAACCACTGAGTTCTTTTTCTAATACAGTGTAAGCTCATAAAAGTTTCACAAACAGAAGCTGGCTCTTATCTTGGCACAGACTCAATCTGCTGAATAATGTAGAACGCTCTTTAATCATGAAATATGTTAGCTGGGAATACTGTACTCTTGTTGCCTGCTGAAAGCAAAATCAAAGTAGATACACACATTAAGTTGACAAAAAATCATACACTACCTGACAAAAGTCTTGTCGTCAATCCCAGTTGTAAGAGCAAAAAATAAAAAATTGACTTCTAACATTTGGAAAAAAGCTGTTATTTCAGGTGAATCGTCTGTTGAACTGCATCCCAATCATCACAAATACTGAAAAGTTCCCATTGGAACCTACCTGGATTCTTATTGAAATCAGTCAAGTTTGTTGAAGGAAAAATCATGGTTTGGTGTTACATTCAGTGTGAGGGTGTGCGAGAAATCTGCAGAGTGGATGGCAACATCAACAGCTTGAGGTATCAGGACATTTGTGCTGCCCATTACATTACAAAGCACAGGAGAGGGCAAATTCTTTAGCAGGATAGCGCTCCTTATACGTCAGCCTCCGGATCAAAGTTCCTATAAAACAAAGAAGGTCAAGGTGCTCTAGGTTTGGCCATCCCATTTACCAGACATATGAATATTTTTGAGCATGTCTGGGCTAAGATGGAGGAGGCTTTGAAGATAGCTTTCTCTGCCATTTCAGATGACTTTATTTATAAGTTATTTGAGTCATTGCAGGGATGTATGGATGCAGTCTTCCAAGCTCATACACAATATTAATTATTTTTCCACTGCACCATGACTTTATATTCTATACTGTACATTATTTATTTAAATGACAGCATTTTTGTCCAAGAAAAGTCAGATGTTTCTGTCCTAATTAAATAATTTTAAAATCAATGACCATATTTTATTTGGGCAAAATAAGTGTAATCTAGAGGCCTTTGCCTTTCAAATAAGCCACTTTATCATTTATTTACCAAATGATCAACTAGAAGTCAAGTTATTATTTGTTGTTCCTGAAACTTGAATAGGTGACAAGACTTTTGACAAGTAGTGTAGTTCTTTTACTCAATTATGCCTTTTTTATCCAGAGTTCATTTTTAATAACAAGCTGAATTATTTACTGCACATTTATGAGAAATTGTAGTGTTTGATCGAGGTTGAAATAAATCATATAAACAAAAAATAGGAATAAAATAAATTTGTTCTTTGTTTTAAAAAAATAAATAAATAAATAAAACATTTATCTGTTTTGATTTATTTAAAATGATTTATCCACAAATGTGAATTATTTGTGGTTTGGTTTATAAGATAAAGTCTAAATTAGTATATATTCAGTGTGTTTTACTTATTTATTTATTTATTTTTTTACATTGATTGAATTTTCTCCTGGCGGTTCATTCCGCTGTGGCAACCTGATTAATAAAGGGACTAAGAAAATAAATGAATGAATAAATTTTCATTTAATGTTGAATGTTTCGAATAACAAGACTAAAGACTATTTTTAAGTAATATTTTTTATATTCTATTATATTTATTAGTTTTCAGAATTTCCTTTTTATATTTAGGTTTTTTGTTTGGGTGTTAGTTTAAGGGTAGCTTTTTTGTTTTTTGTGTATTTAGCAGCAATTAACAATTTAAGTAATTATGTATGTTTGTTAACATGAGCTAATAAAGATAAAGTTGTTAGCACTTGTTAATTTACAGTCCATTAGTTAATGCATTAGTTAACATATGGATTAGTAAATGTTGAAATAAGGGATAATCAATGGCTTGCCGTGCGTTAAAGGATTTTAAATGACGTGGAGGCAAAGAACTGCCTGAAGTGAAGTGCAGCGGATGTTGCCTTCCCAAAGTACATTTAAAATCCATTAACGCACTGCAAGCCATTGAGCATCCTGCTTATTCCATGGTCATTTGCTAAATAATAGACAGGATAAAACTAGTTTTGCAATTTGCAGTGCTTTATATAACTAAATTTTCATCCGTTTATGAAATGTTAGATCTAGTACACACATTACGTCAGCAGTCGCAGATTTTGTGTGAGAGATTTTGTTTGTACATGTAAATTACACAGGCAGATTTAGCATTGTCTGATCTTTCAATATAATTTTGCACAATTTTCATAATTTACGAAAAAATGATATCTTAAAAGTACCAGTTCAATTAAACATGCTTTATGAATAGGCTGATGAAATTGTAGATAGCTCAGCACAGAGTGAGAACACTGTTATTGGCTGTTATTGCGTGCTTACACTACAAAGAAATGAAGGTTCCAGCAACTGTCATGGAGCTGCTATGGTAACTACTAACGTTTGAGGAAATCGCATTTAATTTGAACTGTGATCAAAGCTGACTGGAACTACCTATGAATTAAATGGTTTTATTGCACACCTTGAAGCCATACGAATACAGAATTCCAACAGACCATGGAATATCTATAATGAAAGGGCACCTATCACAAGTCTTTTGTGTCTCCAGAATGTGTCTGTACAGTTTCAGCTCAAATCACCCATCAGGTTATTTATTATATCTTTTTGTATACTGGAAATTTGAGCTGTTAGTACATTGTAGCTGTTTTTTATTTTTTTACCCTAAGCCTTTAATGCAAATGAGCTGGTTCTCCTGGCCACCAATCTCACGTGCGTGTCTTTCTCCTGCTGCGTCTCATGCGTAAGCAGCACAGTGACAGACAAGAATGAAACAATCTCCCTTACCACAGTAAGCACTTTTCCAACGGTTTTGATATATTTGTTGTGGAGTTAATTCAAACCTTTCTGCAACGATTATATGTGTTACTATGGATACATGTTAATACATGGCTGTCAATCAATTCGGTGGACTGCGAAACCGCAATCCTGTTACGTTGTAGTTGGCCTCAAAATGGAAGGTATTTGGATCCTATTTTAAAGTCAGGAAATTAAAAAAAAAAGACTTATTGTCTTCATTCCAGCCCAATATGAGTGGACACACTATACCTACAGACAGTTCTGTCAAAACCGCTTACAAAAGATGATTTTTATCATTGGTGCTCTTTAATGTTACCATCTAACTAGTAACTATTGATACTGTATTGTAAAGTTTGACTCTTCTATTGTTACCACAGGTGTAGTATTTATAATTATTTTAACATAAATTAGACATGTCGCCTAGGGTGATGTTGAATACACTTCTTAACACTTCTAACCCTAACAATTTGTTTTTATGTTCAACAGAAGGAAGTCATGTTGTATTGAAACAGCAGAACTTTGGTTAAACGGTTACTGTGTGGTTTTACTCACAGTTACGATGCAAACGTTGAGCAGACTTTGAGCACTGTTTGGTTTTGTTTTTCCAGGCTGGATGTTCTGGAGTTGGATCCCACGTTTGTGAAGGAGGACATGGAGGCTCCTATACCCGAGGCTCCTTCACAAGCTCCTACAGTAGCTCCTGCTGAGGAGAGCCGTATTGTCATTCTCATCGAGGAGGATGAAGAGTCCACTCAGCCGACGGTGACCCTGCTGGAGGAGGAGGGTGAGGAGGAGAGGAGGCTGGAGGAGCTGTGGGAGAGCGAGAGCACTACCTACTGCGGCCACCTCTCCACGCTCTCCTGCCTGGCGTCTTTACATGAACACTTCTACTGCTACTGCTCAGCGGCGTTAGCACTGCAGCGCCAGCGTAAAGACCGCCGCCACAAAGCCCAGCACACACAAGCCCACACTAAAACTCAAACCACCTCTCAGCAGACCCTCACCGACCCTACGCCTTCCCAAGAACCTCCTGCACCCTCAGAGAAACTATCAGAAGCAGAGCGGCCCTCGCAGACGCAGTCTGAGAGGATTTCTCCTACTGAAACGGCAGCTGCTCCATCTGAATCCTCCAACTGGGAATCTTCATCCACAGAGCTGGAACTTCCACCTGAGACCATCCTTTTGGAGCCCAGCCGCACCTCCACCCTCCCTCCACACAGCTTCTCTGAAACCCCCACCCAAAACATCCCGGAGTCCCTTCCTACAGGAGAGCCTGTTGACCAGCGTCCGCAGTACCTGGTGGACATCCCTGAAACCCACGCCCCTGGGAGTGTTTGCAGCAGCACCAGCAGTGTTCCGTCTCCCTCCGCTGTCTCCTCTACACCCCTCTCCAGCACCACTGAACCCCACAGCCTAGAGACGGACCCTCCCAAACTGGAGCTCCCAGTTCCCACCAAAGAGCAGACAGCTCAGCCGTTGCCCACTCACACCAGGCCTGCTGAAATCCCTCCTCCTACCGAAATTCCCATCCTGATTCCAGAGGCCTCCGAAAATGGCAAGGTCTCATTAGTTGAGGACCAACACCACAATGCTGTGGTGTCCCAACCAGAGCTTTCTGAAGCCCCACATGAGGACACAGTTGATGATATTCTGCTCCCGCACCGCACTGCCGGAGAGTTTTATGCAGAGCAGCAGCAGACAGCCGAAATGGGCCACAGTAATGGAAACGGCAATGGTAATCAGGTGCACGGGTCCAACCAGAAAGAATCAGTGTTCATGAGACTGAATAACAGAATCAAAGCACTGGAGATGAACATGTCTCTCAGCAGCAGATACCTGGAAGAGCTTAGTCAGAGGTACACCATAGTAAAAGCCTTTTAATGTTGAATGAATATAGCAGGTCACAGATTCTGACTGATCTGCTCCACTCAGGTATCGTAAACAGATGGAGGAGATGCAGCGGGCTTTCAACAAAACCATCATCAAGCTGCAGAACACCTCCAGAATCGCAGAAGAGCAGGTTAGTAAAGAGTAAAGTGAAAGAGGTATTGTAGAGCAGAAAAAATGTATCAAAATATATAGATGTATTTTTTGCAGTGCAGATCTAAACTCTTTTATGGAATTTATTTAGGGCTTCCGATTATTTATATTGCTTGTAAATGACAGTAATTGATCAAACTTCTTGCATTAAACCAGCGAGTTTATGACAATGCATTAAACCTAAAATAATATAATGTAAAAAACATAAGTTTGCAATATTACAAGCTGTATTTTACAGATACATACAGTATCAGTGGAATTTAATAAAACCAGAAGTCTCAAGACACAATTAGATTACAATGGCTGCACTAACTCTTATGTGAGAAATAAGGTCAATTAATGCTAGAATCTTCTCTTGCCAGGTTCAAAAATGCTAGTAATTTCAGCAGCAATGCCGGTATTTAAATATATTTAACAGCTTATATGGCATATTTTGGTGTATCATCTCATGAACTGATCGAAGGACATTGAATATTTACTAAATGTTAAATCTTTTTTTACATGTAGTCATTTCAGGTGTATAAATATGATTTGTTTTATTAAATAATTTTAATTATTCAATAGAACTTTCAAAAGGTCTTTGCAATGTGAAAATTATGTGCATAAAACAAAAATAATGCTTTCATTGCTTTTTTTTTCTTCTCCTCAGTGTCACTATACGGTTAGGGTTTGGATTAGGGTGATAAAATAAATGACAAAAGTGTGTTTGTCTGTGTGTTTAGGACCAGAAACAAACTGAGTCTATACAGATGTTGCAGAGTCAGCTGGAGAACGCCACCAGGATCATGCTGAATCTGTCTGCCACAGTTGCCCAGCTGCAGCGAGAGGTCCACTAACATGAAAAACATGATCTCTTTTAAACCACAGATCAGCCTGTAATGCATATTAATATTGACATGCTGCTGTGCACTGTGTTACAGGTGTCTGATCGGCAGATTTACCTGGTTCTGTCTCTGATCCTGTGTCTGATGCTGGGTTTGCTGCTTTGTACACAGTGCTGCAGGAGCTCCACCAATCACAACACCAGCCCGACCATTCCCATGAGCAACAACTACCCCAGTCCCAAGAGGTACAACACACACACTCATACACATGCTTCAGAGTACATCTCATGGAGTTGCACTAGAGCAGGGGTGCCCAAACTCCGTCCTGGAGGGTCGGTGTAATGCAAAGTTTACTTTCAACCCCAATTTGACACGTCTGGACTAGCTAAGCAAGCTCGCACTAAGCTTTGTCGAAACATCCATACAGGTGTATTGAGACTGTATTTAAGTTGGAGCTTAAATCTGCAAGACTCCGCAAGAAGGCCACAGCCATATTACCCTGCTGCCCAAGACTGGTTACTCACTGAAGCTAAGCAGGGCTGAGCCTGGTCAGTACCTGGATGGAAGACCACATGGGAAAACTAGGTTGCTGTTGGAAGTGGTGTTAGAGAGGCCAGCAGGGGGCGCTCAACCTGCGGTCTGTGTAAGTCCTAATGCCCCGGTAAAAGTGAGGGGGACACTATACTGTCAGTGGGCGTCATCTTTCGGATGAGACATTAAACCGAGGTTCTGACTCTCTGTGGTCATTAAAAATCCTATGACACTTCTTGTAAAGAGTAGGGGTATAACCCTGGTGTCCTGGTCAAATCAATCAGCCCTTACTAACATGGCCTACCAATCATCCCCATCCACTAAATTGGCTTTATCACTTACCTATAGCTGGTGTGTGGTGAGCACACTGGCGTCGTTGTCCTGTGGCAGCCATCGCATCATCCAAGTGGATGCTGCACACTGGTGCTGGTGTGGAGAGACCCCCCGCATGATTGTAAAGCATTTATGGTGTGTGGCCATAAACAATAAATGCGCTATATAAATACACATTACATTTTTACATTACAAGACAGAGTTTTGGCACGCAGCATTAGAGGCTCTTATTGCCAACTCCTGTGGTCAGGTTTCAGTCACATCAAGCACTGTTATGCAAAGCAATGATACACACGAGTATTATTTATGAGGCTTTTTGACACGCAGAGCAGTAGTTTACAAAGAATCTGGCTATGCAAGCTTGTTAAAGTGATGTAAACTGTTGACAAGTTTATAGCTGGCGACAGGAGTAAGAAACCGATCTGGTTTACTAGATCAGAAGTACTGAAGTTAACCCCTTCGAACAGGGGTTTAAGAATTTATTGAATTGAGCATTTATAACATTGCCAAAGATTTTGTTTTTCATGCAAAAGAGACCTGTTAGATTTAGTAATTGATTTAGATTTAGAATAGACTTAGATTTTCAATAGAATTACATTTTGATTTAGAATAGATTCAGATATAGATTAAGAATAGATTTAGATTTACAGTAGATTTAGAAAAAAATAGATTTTGATTTACAATAGATTCAGATATAGATTAAGAATGTATTTAGATTTACAAATGATTTAAATTTGATTTGCAATAGATTTAAATACAGGTTTAGAATAGATTTAGATTTAGAATCGATTTACAATAGATTCAGATTTGGAATCGATTTACTTTATATTTACAATAGATTTACAATAGATTTAGATTTACAATAAATTTAGATTTAGAATCGATTTACTTTAGATTTAAAATAGATTTACAATAGATTTAGATTTACAATTGATTTTTTAACACATTGGTGAAGTTAAAAATTCAATAATTGGTTAAATAACCCTGATTTTGACAACAAATGATAATGTATATTAAAAAAGAAATGTTTTTATTAGAAATTTTGAAGAAATGTTATCAACCCTTTATAGAATAAAACAAATATGCGTTGGCATGGAATCTAAATTTACAATATTATACTTCTATATTATATTATATTATTGTTACAACCGGCTCAACGTTGCAACATTAGAGAGACAATACGGACCAGGTAAATTGAAAAGAGAAATGATTTATTAACAAAAAGTATAATTAACAAAAGTATTTAAAGCAATCAAAGTCAGTATAGGTGAAAGTCAGTAGTGAAAAGCATGTGTATGGAAGTGTACTGAGCTCATGATCCAAACACAAACTAAAACAAATCAAAAGCGCCGAGCAGAGACGTCTGGCTAATCGAGCTCTCTCAGATAGAATGCCGGACTCCTTATAAATCACACACGATGAGTCTCAGGTGGGATGACCCACCCACCAATCTGCAATCATCATGCAGGCTCTGCAAATCACAAAAAACACACACATACAAACAGGTCCCACATGGGACCTAACTATTATATTATATTATATTATATTATATTATATTATATTATATTATATTATATTATATTATATTATATTATATTATATTATATTATATTATATTATATTATATTATATTATATTATACTTCTCTGATGTCAGTTTGACACTTCAGCCACAATATTCTTAACCACCCCTCTCTTACCGTTAATTTGCTATGAGCGAATGATGTGCAAAAAAAAGCCCCGCCTCTTACTCAATATTCCGTTTCAGTTGGAAGTACATCAACATACTGTAAGAAATCGGTTTACGCAGTTGAACTGATCATTTTCATGTGTGGCCTGTTAAATTCTATCATGTTTATTATAATAGAAAATATTTATTTTGAATTGTAATAGTATTTCACAATTATTCTGTACATTTTATGCATGAAAAAACAATGCATTATATCCATGTTATACGAGTATATTTAGTGAATAATTCCTCTCTTTGTCAGGTGTTTTTCCTCATATGATGATATGAGTCTAAAACGGAGAGTTTCTTGCCCTCTGGTTCGTTCAAAGTCATTTCAGCTGCCTACGTCTGAAGGTAAGAGTCAACTTCGATTGCCAGTATGTTTTCTCTCTTTTTCTCTAACATTCCCTTTTTCTCTCCAGTAAAGCGCATTGTTTTACTCTGCTGTGTTTCTGTCTATTTCAGCCAGAATTAATTTCCCACATTCATTTCTCAGCTTAAAAATCAAAGATAATCTCACACCACCATATCACACCTTCCCACTTTACATTGTGCGCTCTCATTTCGGCTGCCGCTCTCAGAAGAATCAGGCCTTTTGTATTCAATTCCACACAGATCACTTTACAGCTTGATCTAGTTTTGCGTCCAGCTGTCACTGGTTTCCACAGCGTCTGGCACTGGTTCAGTGTCAGTGTGAGCTGCACTGGAGCACAGTGTGGTTTATAAATGAATGCCAGCACTGGGTTGCCTCGTGTTTGGTGGCACTAGGCCTGTCACAGTAATCAACATATCGACTTATAGACACATGGACATGCCCTTAATCATTTTTGGTGATGCAATATATATCGCCCATACATAAAAACTTATTCTAGCAACATTTTAGCTGATTTTGCAGCCTCTCATCTCTACTGGAGGTGTCAATATCAGTATGGTTAAAACACTATAGTGTTTACTATAAATTACTATAGTGTATTTTTATGTGTGTGTCTGACAGCTCAAAAATAAATCGGGTAGCAGATATAACAGCCTCTGTTACTTTTTACCTTGCACTTTTTTGTTAACGATTGTTATTTATTTTATTAGGATATGCATTTTCACTAGGGCTGCATGATATTGAACAAAACTGACGTTGCACTATTTTCATTTACTGCAATATATATTTTGATTAAAAAAGCAATTTCACCGAACAACTTGAAAAGCTTTCATAATTTTTGATTGATTGGCATGACTCTGTGGGGGAGTGTATCTGCATACAATATTATTTAAAATACGACAAGCAAAGTAAAAATACAACTTCTTGTACCCATACAAATGAGCAATGATTTATGAATTCTGGGGAGTTGAACAGTATTTAGAAACGGAAAATAAAAAATCACTGTATAATAATAATAATAATAATAATAATAATAATGCTATATCATTTTTATTTAGTAAATAATTCTATAACGTACAATTTATTTTTCTGCTACAGAGGTTTAATTTATTGTGTCCAATAGGGTATATGCAGAGCTAGTGTTTCTTTCCATACTAATAAACTTCCGGTGAATGGTTAATGTGACTTTTTCAAGTTTATATGGTTCCTTTTACAGCATCGATCTTGTAATTAAAATATTATCAGTTTAATAGCCTTCAGCATTCATTTAGTTGTTTAAGCGTAAACAGAAATAAAAAGCCGTTTACAAGTGCAGAAACTCTATTGGAAATACTGGAGTAAAATACATATAAATATTTTAAAGACATGGCAGGGGAAATGTAATTTAATGCAGTGCTTCTTGTGCATTCTGAGACCCACTTTAAATCATAAATTATTTAGGCAGTGAAGATTGTTGATTTTTAAAGAAAACAGATCTTAATTGCTCTGATTTTTGTTGTGATATAGAGTTTACTGGAAGCCTATGACCCAGGTTACTGACAAATCAAAAGTCCTTCTCCATATACCATATTGGGTTAAATTAGCTTGAAATGCTTAGTTACAGGGCTTAAAACACATGCAAATAATGAACTTTCACTTGTGCTGCATTTACACTGGAGACCTTGACAGTCAAATCCAATTTTGTAACTGTACCAGATTTTTTTTTACAACCTGCTTACATCACCTTTTATATTTAACTCGTATCCGTTTGTCTGTATTTACACTAGACATGGCAAAGACACAATGACAAGGAAAAAGAGAACGGGTGCTGACTAACAGCTGATAATTAAAGAGCGCTCCTTTTTCCACTCCTGTGTTTAATTTGTTTGCAGGGTAACATTTTTTATTATTCTTTTTGGCAAGTTATTTTACTAAATTTTAGGGCAGAGAAGTTCTCATTTAGCCATCTTTTTATCTAGGCTTTTTTAAACTAGTAGGCATCTTAATGCCATTTCCATGGTGTCATTTGTGCACTTTATTTATGCAACAGTTTTAGTTTATATTGTTTACGTGGCTTAAACATGCTTTAATTCTTGTGCTACATATAAAAATCCTTGTGTATGAGATTTAAGGTTTGGGACTCTGCTGAAGTCTGTCCCCAAATAAAAGCGTCCGAGTCGAGGTCATTCGCTATGGTTTTTAATGTTGCCCAACTTGCATTGACAGCTGAAAATCCAATCTACCTGCTTACAGTGCAGACACGAGGGCATGGATCCGATTCATATCAGATAAATTTCCACATATGAACCTGATTCTGGTTTGAGTAAATAATAATCCATGTTTTTTTTTTTCCTGCTTACATGTACATGGGCCACATCCCATCTGTGCCACATGGGAGAAAAAAATCGGAATTGAGTCACTTGAACCATGCAGTGTAAATGCAGCCTTAGATTAAAATTTGAACTGACTCCACTATGTTGTTAACTGTGAAGTCTGGTCAACTACAGTATAATCCCAACTACATTGCAGATCCCTGTGATGTGACTATGGACGATTAAATAGTTAAATGACTATAATAAATGAAATATTCTTAAGAATTTAACATTGTGTTCTTTAGAAGAGTTGTTCTTGCGTCAAGATGCTATTATATTATCAATCTGGCATAATAAAATGAATGACATAAAATGGTCTTAAAATGACAATAATATTGGTTATCACGATATATTTTGGTGGAATTTATCATTAAACAAAAAGTAGATATGGTGACAGTTCTAGTTGGCACCACACTTTGCTGATTAGATTTAAAACTCCTTAATGAAAAGATTTAAAATTAAATGAGTTCATTTAAGTTCATTATTATACAAATTAAGTTATAAAAGTAAAGTATTTTTTATAATATAGCTAAACCAGGGTTTCTGCAGGGTCTTAAAATGTCTTAAATCCTAAAATCAAAATTTTAGGCCTTAAAGTCTTAGATTTACTGAAATATTGTGTTGTAGGTTTACTTTTTTTCCCCTCCTTTGTTCTTGCATAGCTACCCAATCTCTCCAAAACCCATACAATCTCCAACAATCCAAATTTAAACTTTATTTATCAATAGGGTTTAAATATTTTCCTTACAATAACATTTGTTTGAAAGTGCTCCATCTTTTCACTACTGAGGACACCGACCTGGAGAGTTTACTGTCCACACTGTAGATTTAGTTTATTATAGTTTTTACAACTTTTTTTGAAAACAATATTATGTTAGAAAAAGTTTATGGATACAAGTGGATTTCGCTTGTTTTTACACAATATTCAAAATATTTTGCTAAGAAATATTAAAAATATCTATTTTTTTATTATTCATTTCTGATTGTATCATTAAATGTATTAAATAACAATATGCATATATTTATGATAGTAAATAAAATTCATTTCCATCTGGGCCATTTGAAAAATTCCTTAGCCTTAGCACTTTGAGTCTAACATTTCATTCAATATGGTCTTAAAGTCTTCAATTTAACTTTGTGAAACTTGCAGAAACCCTGTGAGTGTATTTTTGAATGTAATATGCATGAATTAAATATGTTTTTTTAATAAATACAAATAAATACTATAAATACAATAATATATATTTATTAATTTTACTTTTTAAATTAAGAAATTCATCATCATAATCTTGCTTAAACCTGTATTTTAAGGTAAAAAGAAAAATAAACATTTAATGTCATTTAAATGTGACTACATTTACAGCATCTTAGTCAATCTGGTGTATATATTCCTTTTTAAATGTAGAAATACGTCATATTTTTATTTCATTGGTCTAATTTCATGTTGAAGTTAAGTCGATATTAAATCTAGGGCTGCACGATCATTTCAGCATGAATATCCCAATGTGATCATTCACAATAAGCACATCGCGAGTATGCGCAATGTTGAGTCAAGATTATAAGTGATCATTTTGCAAGTGTTTTTTGAGGCCTGTGGTTGTGTGAGGGTTTTTAATGTGAAATTGTACCGTTTTTAATTTATTAATGATTAATTTGATTTAATTATTTATACAAAGAAAGACTATGCAGTATTATTTTACATTTGATTATTCGATTACTGTATACCTGAATATAGTTTGACTCCTCTGGAAAACAATAAATTTGTGTTTATTTAATTAGTATTTTTCTTTATTGAATTTGTCTATGCTATTGGATTGTTCAATATACTTTATGCACTCCATTAATCATCTCAACAATCTAAAATTATAATTTTTTCCAAATAGTTATTTACAAATCTAGTAAAATTGTATTCATATTGCAATATAAGTGGCAGAATAAAAATATCACAATGTTATCTTTTTCCAATATCGTACAGCCCTAATTAAATCTAAAGTATGATTACAGATTGAATTTTTTAAAACACACAAAAGATTGATTAATTGGTAGTATAATCATGGCAGATAAGCTGAACTGTCCTCACTTCTTTGAACAACAGATCCGTCCTGTTCTTCTTGTTTCTTTTTTTCCTGCTTTATTTCCTCTCATTTTGCTTCTGTTGTACATTTGTGTGTGCGTGTGAGCTCATCAATGGTTTGTCTTTGAGGCAAAGTTTGGATATTTTTAGCACATAATGCTTCTGGCTGGCACATGTTGGACATTTGCAAGTAGTAACAACAGGAAAGCGTGACACATTTTGCATCATTAAATGATGAATATGTGCATATCTCATATCAAAAAATGACTTTCAAATGTGTTCAGATTGTAGCCGATGATTTAAGTGAAATCAAATATGTGCAGATTAAAATTGAGGAAGAGTTTTGAGCACAGCGAAGGCTTTGAAGTGTCTAACCTGAGCTACTACTTGCAAGTGCTGTCATGCTTGTGTTATTGTTTGCCATACCATTCCGTTAACCTGCCCCCTTTCTCCCCTCTTTAGTAGGACCCGATGACTTGTACATTGTAGAACCTCTAAGGTTTTCTCCAGAGAAAAAGGTATGCAGTTTGTTCAGGCCGCTGTGTGTTTATGACAGTAGTGAGACTGAAGCTGACTTTCAAAACCACCCTGCGTCTGTTTAGCAGCTCTCTTGCCTTTGGTTCAATTTTACAGTTTAACATGATTCTTACTTATTTCTTAAGTATTTCAAGGGAAGCAGTGAGTGTTTTGGAACGCAGCTCTTTCTGGATAGCCTGTCTGACAGGCTGTGAAGTGAACCGTTTCTCTGCTAACTGACAATTTAGGGGTTAGGAATTATTTTCTTAAAAAGATTAAACACTATTTTTTAATTTTTTTCCACTTGAAACAGAATTGTTCCAAACTCTATACTGAATACAAGTATGTTTATATGAATATGTCTTTGAAATGACATCTTAATGTTATATTTTGATATAATCTTAATCAGTAAAGGGATAACTCACCCAAAGCTGAATATTCATCATCATTTATTGATCCTTTTCTCGTCACAAACCTGTTGTTGAACGCAAAATAAGATATTTTGAAGAAAGCTGGAACCTAGTGGCCCCTGACTTCCATAGTATTGGTTTGTTCTTACAATAGATGTAAAGGGTTAGTGGTTTTTAGCTTTCTTTCTAATTCCTTCTGTTGTGTAAAAAAATAAACTCAAACAGGTTTAAAACCAATTGAGGACGAATAAATAGTACATTTTCATTTTTTGGGTGAACTATCCCTTTAAAAATTGATGTCAGTAAATTTCCAGCCATTTACAGAGTGCATTAATGTGTGTCCGCTTTTATACCAGAATTGGTTCCAGAAGTATTCTTCCCATTTAAAAATCCAAACCAAAGCCTAACAGTGCATCCGGAAAATATTAAAAGCGCTTCCATTTTTCCACATTTTTTTAATGTTTCGTTCTTATTTCAAAAAGGATTAAATTCATTTATTTGCTCAAAATTCTACACACAACACCCAATAATGACAATGTGAAAAAAAAATTTAATGTTGCAAATTTATTAAAAATAATAAACCTGAAAAATCACATGTGCATAAGAATTCACAGCCTTTGCTCAGTACTTTGTTGATGCACCTTTGGCAGCAATTACAGCCTCAAGTCTTTTTGATTAAGATTCCACAAGCTTGGCACACCTGTCTTTGGGAATTTCTGCTCATTCCCCTTTGCAGTACCTCTCAAGCTCTATCAGGTTGGATGGGAAGCAAAAGGTGTACAGTCATTTCCAGATCTCTCCAGAGATGTTCAATTGGATTTAGATCTGGGCTCTGGCTTGGCCACTCAAGGACATTTACCAAGTTGCGGTGAAGCCACTCAATTGATATTTTGGCGGTGTGCTTTGGGTCATCATCCTGCTGAAAGATGAACCGTTGCCCCAATCTGAGGTCAAGAGCACTCTGAAGCAGGTTTTCATTCAGGATGTCTCTGTACATTGCTGCATTCATCTTTCCCTCTATCCTGACTAGTCGTCCAGTCCCTGCAAATATAGGAAATAAATGAATTTAATCCATTTTGGAATAAGGCTGTAACATAAAAAATGTGGAAAATGTGAAGCGCTGTGAATACTCTCTGGATGCCCTGTATATCCAAAACCTCCAGCTACAAGAAAAATAGCCGGTTCACACCAACACTAATGTTGTCTTGGTCAGATTTAGTCCAATGTTCTCATTAGATGATTGTTTGATGATAAAACAGCTGTTTAGATTGTTGTATGCATTTGTTCATTAAAAATTAGTAATATAGTCACTTAATAAATTTTATCACTTAATAAAAATGAATTGTTCATGAGGAAGAGCTTATGACCAAAAATGTGAAACCTACTGGTTAGACAGATTTCTTTGCAGTCCAATGCAAAAGGGATTGGAATTTAGAGATTAAAGATATCTGTTGCACTAACATGCAAATTTTTGTAAACTACAATTGTGAACACAACCAAATGTTTGTGTTGGTGTGAACGGGCCTCAACTTCTCCACCAATGATGCCTTGTGTTCTTTGCCCTCGTGTTTATCATCATGTTCCTCATATAGTGATTGTGCCATCAAATGTTCAATCATGCTCAGCACAAAGACGGTTATAGCAGCTTTAGATGTTTAAACAGTTAGTTCACACAATATTTAAAATGTATTTATTAGTTACTCACTCTCTTGTAGTTTCAAACCCCTGAAATCTTTCTTCAACTTCACTATTAAGATACTTTAAATGCAATCTGAGAGCTCCCTCATCCTCCAAAGACACCAGACACATTCAAAGTCAAGAAGAGGAGCCAAAAACATTGTTAAAACACTTCAACTTGAATCAAACGATGCTCCAAGAACACTTTTCTGCTCTTATTAAAATGTTAAAAATGAGTTCATTTGCAAATATCATCATCTGTCTTTTGGATGAGACGTTAAATAGTGGTCCTTCTCGTAAAGACTAGGGGTGTAACCCTGGTGTCCTGGCCAAACCAAGTGTCCACTGGCCCTTTACTCATCATGGCCTCCCAATCATCCTTATGCAAAGAATTCTCTCCATCACTGTCTCTCTACTCCACCAATAGCTGGTGTGTGGTGAGCGCACTGGCGCTGTTGTCCTGTGGCTGTCGTTGCATCATCCAAGTGGATGCTGCACACTGGTGGTGGTGTGGAGAGACCCCCCTCTTGATTGTGTAGCGTTTTCAGTGTATGGCCATACACAATAAATGCACTATATAAATACACATTACATTACATTCTCTTTCTTATCAGGTTTTCAGGGTGCATGTTTAACACAGGCAATAGACCTAATAGACCTAAAAGTTCAACACGGAAGCCTCATATTGCTGTTAATAAATGCACGCCATGATCTGACGCGGAAAACACTGGTGAACAAAGTCCTTTTTTACATACTCTTGACACACAAAGTGTTTTTGGAGCATCATTTAATTAAAGTTGAACCACTGAAGTCACAGGAAGTGTTTTGACTTTAAACATCTCTGGACTGTTTCTGTCTATGGAGGAAGAGAGAGCTCCAGGATTTCATCTAAAATAGCTCAATTCGTGTTCTGAAGATGAAATGAAGATCTCAAAGGTTTGAAACAACGTGAGGGGGAGTAATTAATGACAGAATTGTCATTTGTGGGTGAACTAACTCTTTAGGTGGCTCTCTGAATGCATGATGTAGACATTAAAGCACATCTTCACTTGCGTGTGTTTCAGAAGAAGCGCTGCAAGACAAAAGCAGGAGAGCGCGTGGAGACGCTCCGGGCCTCAGCGACGGCTCCTAACGGCCTGCTCAAGCTCAATGGAGAATCCTCACCTCCTCTTCAGTTCCTGCCGTCGACCTGCAACGGCTACACGTCCACCTGCTCGTCCAGAGACTGTGCTTCAGAGGGCAGCTCCGAGAGCTCCGTGTCCACACTGTCAGAGGAGTCGTTCGGCAGCGCCCCTTCAGTGAACGGACATGAGCTTGTTCTATATAACGGAGAGCCTCCGCCAGCCTGCCCTCCAGCCAAGAGCAGGACGGAGAAGAAACGCCGCCGCTCCAGACAGGGAGAGCAGGACAGCATGCTGAGCGCATCGCTGCCCCTGCCCGCGCTGGAGGAGCTCATCAAGGGCAAGACGGAGCTCGGCGTAGCCTCTTTCGGAAGGACAGCAGTCACAGGACGAGTTTGACTTTACATCTCCTTTCCATTTCATCATCATTTTTGAGATTTTATTGTTCACTACACCCCGGTTCTCAGAGCTTTGGTTATGTGCCTTTTTTTGAATTCCTTCAGGATCTCGTTATTCCCTTTAAGTTTTTTTTTTTATTGTTGCTGGGGATTAAATTATGACACAACGTGAGTATGAATGAGACCATGTTGTTCATGAGCCTCAGGTCTGCTTTCGCATTTTCACTGTCCTGTCAGGCTCTCTTCTGAGTCCTTGTTCATGTGAGATTGTTGACTGTGGTTGGTTTGTGGGACCAGTAATGTCCAGTGAATCGAGCTGAATGAAGAACAGATCCAGTCCTCCTCTTCATTTCACTCTTCTGCTCATTCATTATTTTCTTCTAGAGCCAAGTTACGGCCTGTTTGAATCATAATGTGACCAATGAGTCCAGGCTGGGCCTGAACACACACACACACACACGCACGCACGCATACATTGTGACGCACACAAAGTCTCCAGCTCTTCAAGTGTTTACAGCTTATTTTCTCATGTATTTTCTCACTAGTTGAGCCGTCATTTAAAAAACCTTCATGCAGACATGCATCTTCCTTTTTTTACACACACACACTTTCACGTGGGAGTTTGTAGGGGACATTCTGCTATTTTTAGCGCTAATTATTTATCTATTTATTTATTTAAAAAATGACCTGGGCTCTATGAGATCACGGTCATGTGACATTCGAGATCCCTCCAACCTCCACATTTAGATTTATGATAGATCCACACACACACACATGGTACGGAAAACATTATTCTGTCGTCTCATTTCGGTGTACTATTTGATTTGTTTCACCTTACTAGATCAAATCAGGCTGGAGGTGAATCCATTGCTCGTAATGTGACCAAGGAGATGTCGTACATCATTTTTTAAAGACATCTGGTTGGCTTAGCTTTTCTGGATCTGTTCCGACAGGCTTCGAGTGACTGGAGCTCTCGTCTTTGTGCTAAATATTATGCATGTGTCCGACAAAAGCAACCTGTCCTCTATCACTGTGTGTCTCTCCTCACACACTCCATGTCCCTCTTAACACACTTTATATGTACATGTATGTGTTGTTGCTGCTTTCGTAGTTGTTTTTAATGCACCATTTTGACACCCCAGTGGAGTTTCTCTGAGATTGTAAGTGTTTCCTTCATGCAGGCGAATCACAATATCAGTAAAAGGGAAAGATTGCGATGGTGGACCATCTGTGTGTGATTTCCAGCACACTTGTTCCAGCTTACTACATTTGTTTTTCTGAATGGCAGATATATGTGTGTGGGACTTGTGCTCATGTATGGATGGTTTTCTGTATGTTGTTGAATGAATTGGAGATGAATCTTTCCAGGATGAGAGCGTGTCTCTGCTGTGCACTTTGGAAAACTCCACTAGCCTTTGTGTTTTTCTACACCACACCTTGTACAAGTGCTTTTCTCCACGGGCTTTCCTCAGTATGGCGCCCTCTGGCGGCTGACACCAGACTTATTTAAATGTCCAAGAGGCGCGAAAATAAAGACTCACATTCTGTGGGGACGAACTGCACAGTATTTGATTTGATTTTTCCAGTTGTAACTACAGCGGCGTAGTGCCATTAGAAACTGTGAATTTATAAATAAAACACTTTGTTGTCTTTATTAACTGTGTGATTTTATTATGTCTTATTTCTGTTGACCTGTCTGTCAGTTTATCTAGTCTTATCAGGCGCAGGGGTTCTCAAAATCAATGCCGCACTGCTCTGTAAAACCCAAAAAAGTTAAGGTAACTTAAACCATTTAAGGAAACCGATTGCAACAAACCATTTAGGTTCAACAACTAATCCTAATGAGTATTGTGAAATTAATCTATGAGTAAATGAAGCAATTTGAGCACAGTAAAACCCAATAAATGAAGAGAACTCAAACCAACTGAGTACTGTAAAAATAAGTTTAGGCAACTCAAGCCATTTGAGGAAACCGATTGCAACAAACCATTAAAGTTAAACAAAAAATAATAATAATATGAGTACCGTGAACTTACTCTATTAAGTTGAAGTAATGAGGTATTTAAAAATTCTTCAAAAAGAGTTCAAAATTCTTTTCAAATGAGTAGAATTAACTTTTAGTCAATTTTGAGTGAACTACACTCATTTTGTTTATTTAATAAAGTTGACTGTTGGGATTTACAGTGTGAAATCCGGTGTCTTTACAGATTTTTGATTCAACTTGCCTCAGGACATCTGCAAAGATGCTTTTCGAAAGCCTGTAATAGCTTGATTAGCTAGCCCAGGTGTGTCTGATTGGGATTGGAGTCTGTTTGTGTGTGTGTGTGTGTGTAGAAAAATGCAGAATAGCAGATTGAATGATATAAGAAAAAAACTGCGAAATAATAATAAAAAAGGTGCGTTTTAGATCTTTTGGGCCTCAAATCATTTGTCAGGGGTGCTCAACCCTGCTCCTGGAGATCTACCTTCCTGCTGAGTTCAGCTCCAACCCTGATAAAACACACCTGAACCAATTAATCAGACCTATACAGCCATGGATAATTACAGGCAGGTGTGTTTGATGTGGGTTGCAACTGAAATCTGCAGGACGGTAGATCTCCAGGAGCAGGGTTGAGCACTCCTGATTTATGTGGTATAAAGTATCTGCTTTAATGTTTCAAATAATTTAATAATCTTAGGGGTGCTCAGTTTAATGCTTATTTTTGCAATATCTTTAAATAGAAAGGAAATCTGTTGCAGATATGTTTGATTGTTTTAGAATTATTAGAAATGCAAAAACAATGACAACAAATGGAAGGTTAGTTGTGTTCTCTTACTCTTGGACATATTGAGAGAACGTTCTTACCTTATTACCATAAGGTGCTCTATTTAATTTTAAACAACAAATATCCATAGGTTTCAACACAAGTTCCAGATTTGAAGGATCAAAACACAGTTCAAGGTATCATCAGAAGCATTTAGTCATAAGCACAAGTATTTAGTCATTCTTTAGCAAAATATCGATTTCATTTAGCCTCATTTAAATGCGCTGTGGTTGTGAGTGTGACCATATCAGACACAAATATGGTGGCGAGCGTAGTGGAATTGATGTTTTTTGTCCCTATGATATGAACACAGCTTTTTATTTAAAGTTCCTCACAATCACTCAATTATTTTGTTTCACTTTTCAACTGATGGCTATACAAAATAATTAACACAACTTCACACATGATCACTAGAATTCACCAGAACAGGTTTCAACATCGGAAACTAAACCATGTGTATGGTTTCCATGCTACTAATTTCAAGTATATAATTACAGTGACTGCACAGGATGAAGGAACTATTTTCACTGTTTAGCAGTTGTTTCTCTAATTTAAAGACAGTGCGCTTTAGGTAACTTAGCATGACCATGTTGGCAAGACAATGGGCTATATGCACAGTTTTTAAACCTCCAATAAACTTCCAGTTTATTTGACTATTTTCATTTTCAAAAGGTTCCTTTGAAAGCATTGTTGTTGCATTATAATTAAATTAGAACCAGTTAAACAGACCTTAGTATTAATGTAGTTGTTCAAGCATAATTAACGAGATGTTTGAATGGAAGTTCTGTCAGGAGCAGTGGATCAGAAACTCCATTGAAGATACTGAGGTGAAACAAATTTCTATATTTTAAAGACATAATGTGGAGCAATGGAATTGAGTACTTTTTGTCCGATATGATACCCACTTTATTTCGTACCTTAGTCAGGCAGTAAAAATCACAGATTTTTAAAGATATCACAGCGCAAATGCATCCATTTTGTAATGGCGAATTCACTGGAAGAGCTGTCTGATTTAAAAATAAAAGTCCGATATACCCAATTGAACTACAGTAATAAATATTTGCTGGCGTTCTGTCCATACCTGTCAACCCTCCCATTTTTCCCGAGATTTTCCCATATTTTACAGTTCTATCCCGCTATCTTCTCGTAAAGGTATTTTCCCGTATTACTCTCGTATTTTCAGTCTTTCTTTGAAGGGTGGAAATAAACATTAAAGAGCTGAGCCTCCTTATATGCAGCCCATACCACCCTTGCTCTACATGTGAGTTTGTTCTGTTCTTTTGCTTTGTTTAGGCATGAAAACACTGAGAATAATATAAAAATGGCAGAATTCTCTTTACTTTTCAAAACAGGTGCCGTCTTCCCTTTAATTGCAATCCTCAAAACAGTCATATAGCAGTGCGTGACTGTCAGCTGACATGCTCCATAGTGATAAATAGACGCTGTTTCCCAAACGAATTCTGTACACGTAATTTGAAGCGGAGCAAAAGTCTGGTTTTTGAGTGCATGTTAAACAGACATATACACATAATAAATAATAATAATAACATAAGATGTCGATCTTGGTGTTTTTTTTTTGTTTTTTTTTAAAGAAGTTAGGAGAGAAATCGAATGCTTTCATAATAACGTTAGATGTGTGCATTTTTTAAGTGACACTTCTATTATTTAATGTAAACAAACAAAAAAAGTCTAAATAAATAAGAGATTTATTCGTTGCTCATTAATCAGAATGTGTGAGTTATACAGTGAAGAAAAGGCTTGAGATTTGATAGCTTGATTCTATTTCATTATAATAGCTATTCATTTTAATAAGCTGAACTGTGCTAATGTATTTGCTGCCAATGTATACTATTTTTTTAATGTAAATAATAATAAAACATATTACTGATCATTTAACTGTTTATTTACAATGAAACAGCTCCAGATGAACATATTTAGTGATTTGGGGATTTTGGTTGATTGGTATGATTCTGTCTATTTATCCTACCTTGTCAGAGTGTCCTACCACCCATTCAAAAAGTAAGAAGCACATTTTGATGATGCAATATGCTACCCTTCAGATTTTGATACCAGTGTATGTTAATGTGGTAGAGTGATATGAATCTGTACTGTCGCCCTTAACCTTCCTAATCCCTAAAGTCAACCTCAGAACCATTCAAATACAGTGTTGGTAGCATAATCTGATGGGTAGGATAAAATGTCTGGACACCTGTTTCAGATTTTTCTTTATTTCTCACCTCAGGACAAACACAACTGAAGATTGCACTTCAGAGAGAAAAAGACTGTCGATTAATGTCAAAATTAAAGTTTATTTATTTATATATAATTGTATGCTTGAATTATTAAATTGAGTTTTTTATTATTTCAGTGGACTGGTTTTGAATAGCACCGCTGTTAAAGTTATATGAAATCAAAGGCCTTTTATTTTGAAGTGCCTGCAGTAGCCTCACTGACAGACCCAGGCAGACCGGGTGTGCTGCGGGACTTTTATTTTGAAGCGAACGCCTGCTGCAGGTTGATCAGTCTCAGCTCTGCCTCTCACAGGCTCGCTGGCCGATCTGGAGCTTATTAAGGTAATAAAACTTCGCCAAACACACAATTAGACAGTTGCACAATTATAGCAGCACTAAAAACGGACAAACAAAGCACGTACATGGATGTCACGCGATAATTTTGACGCGTGAATTTGATAAATGTTGATATAGATGCTCCGTTATCAGACACAGGCCATTTCTAGATCATCAGATATTAACAGCATCTTCTATGGAGCTCCTTTTGCTGCTGTTATGAGTGTTTAAAGTAGCTTTAGAGGTGTTGAGCGACTGGAGATCGGAGCTGAAGAATCGGTGAAATGGAGGTCAGGCTATAAGCCGTATAGACTGTCCAGACTTAACACTACCAGTAATCCTCCTCCTCTTTACACTCCTGTCAGTGGAGGACTCTTAACTATTGCCACACACACACACACACAAACACACACACATTACTGCTGACCCGTGCTTTCTCATAGAGGTTTCGAAGTTCATGAGTAAGGAGGATTTTGAATAGTAAATGTGATGTTTTGCATCTTTAAGTAATAAAATAATATTTAAATTTAAATGTTACAAGTTATAATTGAAAGCTATGTATAAGTTATCATAGAGTTGATTGAGTATATGTTAATGCACAGTGGTTTGTTACGAAGAGAAACCTATAAAAATTGAAAATATATTTTTAAAAGTTTTTTTGGAATATGTAAATATGCCAGCTATTACATAAACATATGCCATTTAATTATTTATTAATAAATGAATTGGAGGGAGCTTAAAACAATATTATATTTATGGCTGCATAAAAAGACATTTCTAATATTTAAAAATATATTTTAATTATTAATGTATTCCAAATTATTATTTATACTGATTGTTATACATATTATTATTATTATTATTATAACACTTCATAACGTTGAAAATAATAAATGAACAGAGGGGAGCGTAAAATAAGATTTTTAAAATGTATTTAAAAAAATATTTAGATTTTTTAATGAACTAAAATGTTAAATAAAAGAAATATCAAAGGCAGCTTAAAAAAACAGATATTTTTATTTTTAAATTTATTTTAAGTACTTCTATCATAAATTTAAAATAATTAAATGTTATAATGATTATTATGCATGTTGTTCTGACACTTTTATTCTTCTTCCCTCACACCTTTTAAAATAATAAACAGTGGAAGCCTAAACTAATCATATTTTAATAGAATGTTTAAATATTTAGATTTTTTTAGTAAACTGAAATATTGCAAAAAATGTACATCAACTGCAGTATAAAAATACATAATTATAATATATAAATATCTATATTTGTTTGAAAAAACTTATTAAAGTATTCTAAATTATTATTTATAATGTTTCAGTTAACACTTCATTACTTTAAAAATAATAAATTTACAAGAAGGAGCCTAACATGTTATATTTTATTGAATATTTAAATATTTAGAATTTTAATGAACTGAAATATTGCAAAAATTATTGAACATCAAAGGCAGCTTAATAAAGACATTATTTAATATATTTTTTTATTTTAAATAATTATACATAAATGCTAAATAATTATATTATATATGTAATAATAATTGTTATTATGAATGTTATTATAACACCTTTTTATTCCCTCACAACTTTTAAAATAATAAATAGGAAGGAGCCTAAAAAATTATATTTTGATAGAATATTTAGATTTTCAATGCTGCAAAAATGTACAACAAATGCAGCATAAAAAGTATATATATATATATATATATACATAAAAATATATACATATATTTTAAATATACAGGGAGCCTAAAATATTATTTTTTAATAGATTATTTAAATACTTAGATTTTTTATAAACTCAAACACTGCAAAAAATTTAAATCAAATGCAACATAAAAAAATTGACATTTTTTGTTATTTAAAATGTTTTAATGTATTTATTTTAATTACTTTGTTGTGTATTATAAATTATTATTTATCTGTGCACTATTTTTATACATCTGTCCTTATAGCTTTATTCAAAAACCTAATAAAAACCAAATAAAAGATGATTATTAAGATTATATTATAAAAGATTATGCTTATAGGCTTGGATAAAGGAAATTAATCCTTGCAAATGACACACAATTACAAACGATAGAGACAAGTAATTTAAGGGACATTTAAAGGCCCCTACAAAATCAAAGCTAACCATAGTATTTTGTTAGCTCACATTGTTAGTTTTGTGGTGAACAATTAATCTTTGCATGTCATTAAGAACAGAAAATAGTTTCTAATTTTAATAGTTTCTAAATAGATTCTAATTTTAAATTGAAATCTGTAAATGCACTTCCTTTTTTTCAGTTAAATTATTCGAAAACCTATATCTTAGGAATTGGGCATGGCTAAAAAATTTAATCACGCTGCTCCAGCAGTCAGTTTTGACAACAAACAGAAATGGTGAGCAGGAGGAGCCTGTCAGGTTGTTATTACTCTCCCCAAACCCTTTTCCTCTTGCTGAATGACATGCCTACTTTACTACATCCAATCAGCTCACAGTAGAAAAAACAAGCCACGCCCACTGTTGTGTCATTTAACATTCGCTGTGTCCGAAACCACCTACTACTGAGTAGGTACTGCATTTGAATTTAAACGTACTACTCGGCGGTTAGAAAAGTATGTTCTATACAGTATGAATGTGAAAAGTATGAATGGAATTTTGCCATGGTCACGTGACCTACCTGCGTCAATTGCGTTGCTTTACTCCCATTCATGAATTCTCTCGAAGGGGCATCCTGGGATAGCGCAGCATGCATGGGATGCGCACTCTAGAATCTCGCCGGAATTAGTAAGTCATCTGGGTACTTCTCACATACTGATTTTCGAATTCTATGAATTCGGACATAATACTTGGCTCACATACTGATTTTAGCGTACTATATAGTATGGAAGTATGCAGTTTCGGACGCAGCGAATCTGTTTCTCTAGGAACTGCGTCACAATACAAAAAAAATAAATAAATAAGGGTCACAGCTTCTGGTTCATGGGGACTTTAAAGTTGTTGATTGTATCTATAATAATATATTCAAAGTTTGCTGTTAAATATGAATATACACACAAATATATGTAGAGATCATCTATGGCGCTTCATGTGAGTGGGTGGGTTTAAAAGTTTATTTTGTCATGCTTTGCTTTCTGTGGCTGTCTAATTGGTTGAATTTTCTGCACAGCATTATGGGTAATCTCATAAGAATCACTATTATTGTGAGTTTTTTAAAAAACAAGTTCAATTAATGTGAATATTAGTGGTTTCTGCTTTCAAATGAATGCTTCATGAAACCTTTTTGAATCATTATTTTCGAATCAGTGGTGCGATGTTTGTATCAAAATTACAGGTCACGATTTCTGTAAACAGGGCTTTGTTATGGTATTGCTGTGTCGAAACTTTAAAAAAATTAAATGGTTCTTCACTGGGGGCGCTCATTGATTCAGATTACCCTTTACTGAGACTTTTTTACTTCATCTGCGAGTTTGATGATGCTTTACTGAGACGTTTTTACTAGGGTTGGGCCAATAGACGATGGCCGACAGACTTCACGATGCTGAGCTGGCATCAGGGGCGTTGCTAGGGTCGAAAAGGATATGGGGCTTAGCCTCAAAGAGGTCTAAATTCAGAAATTTCTAAATTCAATACCTTGCGAAATATTGACATTCAATAGGCTACTATTTTTGATATAATAACAATTGTATCAAAAATAGTACAAATAATAAAAATAAAGATCTATATGCTATAAATATGTTCAAATACTTCAAATTTCTTTAGAGAGAGATTTTTTTCAGTTTTCCTCAAAATCGGTTGATGTGGGCATTGTAGCACTTTAAATGCATGTAATGCCTGTTTCATTCATACTTGAGCAGAAATTCCATGTATGCCTCACAAAAGCAGCAGAACATTCCAGGAAATCCCTAATATAGATGAAGGAATCCTGCCATTGCTGTAGTTAAATGAAAATAAGATCTGAATAAACATTAAAAGGCTTTAACTGATTATGTACACGACTGCGGCAATAAATGTCTTATACAGGTAAAGTCAGAATTATTAGCCCTCCTTAGAATTTTTTTATTTTTTTTTTATATTTCCCAAATGATGTTCAACAGAGCAAGGACATTTTCACAGTAAGTCTGATAATATTTTTTCTTCTGGAAAAAGTCTTTTATTTCGGCTAAAATAAAAGCAATTTTACATTTTTTAAAAACCATTTAAGGGGCAAAATTATTAGCCCCTTTATGCTATATTTTTTCTGATAGTCTGCAGAACAAACCATCGTTGTACAATTACTTGTCTAATTAACCTAACCTGCCTTTAAATGTCACTTTAAGCTGTATAGAAGTGTTTTTAAAAATGTCTATTCAAGTATTACTTACTGTCATCATGGTAAAGATAAAATAAATCAGTTATTAGAGATGAGTTATTAAAACTATTATGTTTAGAAATGTGATAAAAAAAATAACCAGGGGGGCTAATAATTCTGACTTCAACTGTATGTGTTCTTCCAGCCATCTTGGGTATTTTCATATGAAAGTCGATTTATAATCCGCTGCTAACTGACATAGCATGTTACAGTAGAATATAGCTATAAAATAATATGCTAGATACATGAACTCACTGATTTAACTATTACAGAAACAGATGGCTATATCACATCTAGATAAAGATGTCTAGATATCTATATCATATCTAGAAAGCAAGTACAATTTACGTTTTTCTGACTAATTCACATGTATTTACATTAATATGATGCACATTTTATTGATTACCTACAGTTATTTTATTTCACCAAAACTACACACATTTTATACTGTGAAAACAAATATTAAACTTAATCATTAGTTAGAACTATTCTGTTTCGCGAAAAAATAATATTGTAATATTACCTCCTCAGCATCAGCTCGTCATAATAATGAATGAAGATCAGTGGCGGAATTTTTTTAAACCATGTGACAACAGTGCCACTTCCACCTGCCGGTAGAAACAGGTACTGCTGAACAGCTGACTGTTTAATTGCCCGTCACAAACGCTGCTTTAAGTGGAATGCGCGTGATGTATGTGCTCATTTTAAGGACTTCGATAACAAAATAAATGTTATACAACCTATTTTTATCTAAGTGCAACATATTTCAAAAAATAGCACAAAGCCGGGGCAAGCAATGCAGACTTTTTTTACTTCAGCAAGTTCACAATCACATAACAACTGTTTTAATTTGTTCCTGCGTTTAACGTTTTTAGGATCAAAGATGCATTCTGCATAAATGTCTCCTAAATCCGCGCACACGATGAGAAAAAAAAAGTGATAATATATGCCTTCGCACAAATGCTTCCAAATAGGGTCGCATAGATAAATTTTCGGGCGCATATGCGACCAAAACGGTTGAGCCTTAGCATCTTAACTTGTTATTATTTCCTCATAACAATAATAAAATAAGGAAGTTATCATTAATCACAATACAGATTACAGTAAACTCCAAACGAACTCTCGTCTCCTCCAGCAGCTGTGGGAATAGCCATTTAAACGACACAGATCACTGCCTATTCATGCCAGAGTCCCGCCGAAAAAAAGTGATTGACAGGTGGTAATTTGTGTATAACTTTATTTATTTATGGTTTGTTATGAGTGAAGCAAAGACTATGTGGGTCAGGTAGTGAAAACGGTAGGCTACAATTAATTAATTATTTATGAATTAATTGATATTTAACCACACTAACCACCCCCATGACGATAATGCCATCTACCATCACAATGTTTCACATTAGACATTGTACGATGCCAAATTGGTCAACATCGCCCAACCCTAGTTTTGACCTCATCTGTGAGTTTGACAATGCTTTACTGAGACGTTTTTACCTCATCTGAGAGTTTGACGATGGTTTACTGACATATTTTTACCGTATTTGCGAGTTTGACGATGCTTCACTGAGACGTTTTTACCTCATCTGCGAGTTCGACGATGCTTTACTGAGATATTTTTACCTCATCTGCGAGTTTGACAATGCTTTACTGACACGTTAGTAACACAAAAAGCAATAACATTAGTCAGTACTTATTTATTTTATAAACTAGTATTAGGTTTTGTTGCTTGAACTGTTTGTTCCATTGTGGGCCGGACAACAAAATACTATTGACTAATACTTAGTGGTTCTCCACTGGGGGCATTTATTCATTCAGATAACCCCTAGGGGCCAATCCTGGAGCAGGTATCATCGTTTTACCTCATCTGCGTGAGTTTGTATGTTTTAATGAGACATTAGTTAAACAAAAAGGAATAATATTAGTCAATAGTATTTTGTTGTCCTGCCTACAATGGAACAAACAACATAAGCCAGGAAAGTTGATAAAAGAAAGCATAATATGTAAACTACTGTATAAATGCTTAATAATATTAGACAATAAGCTAAGTGCGTTTGATAGGCAGTACATAAAAGCAAACGTTTGCAGAGTGTTTATAAAAGGCCCTTTTTAAACTATGTATTTTTGGACTATTAGTTGCATTTACATGTTTTTAACCAGCAGGTGGTGTTTCGAATGATTCGAAACAGTAAAGAGTTATGTAAAGAAATTTGTTCAATGGTTTCAAACCTCTTTCATCACTGGTGAATATATGGGTTCAGCACTGTAATCAGAGCGCACAACACACACGACATGACAGAGCTCCATGGAAAATCTTTAACAGTTAAATAATTATTAAGTTGTTTGTTCGTCTAGAGAAAATCATTTTACGTCCAGATTTCATGTCAACAAAAAAATGAAATGAATGTTTATGTGATCTGTTTCAATTTATAATAGCAGCTGTTGTACTATTTTGCAACTGGTGCATTTTTTTTAAAAACAGTTCTAAGCTTAAGTGTGTCACATCTGATCAGTCAGTGTGTTTTTATCAGGTTTGTGATGATCCTAATGTATTGATGTGTTTGGCACAGGATGGCTGAACCACCTCGGTCATGTGACTGTTTTGTATCTCTTCCTCCGGGTTCAAAGGAAGATTATGTGATATTCGGTAAAAACTCTGACCGTCCGCGGGATGAGGTGCAAGAGGTGGTGTATTTCCCAGCGTCTTCACACCCTCCTGCCTCCACTGTGGAGGTGAACCAAGTGTTTTTTATAAACAATTTTATTCACTCACGTTTGCTGTCTTCATTGTGTGTCGAGACCTATAGACCAAGGGTGCTCAATCCTGTTCCTGGAGAGCTACCTTCCTGCAGATTTCAGTTGCTACCCATATCAAACACACCTGCCTGTAATTATCAAGTGGTGTTCAGGTCCTAATTAATTAATAGTTCAGGTGTGTTTGACATGGGTAGCAACTGAAATCTGCAGGAAGGTAGCTCTCCAGGAACAGGATTGAGCACCCCTGCTTTAGACGATTGACTGCTGGTTGTGTTTTCTATGCAGTGCACATATATCTCCATTCCTCAAGTGGAGCACACTAATGCAGTGGTGCTGAGCAGACCTGCCTGGCTCTGGGGCGCTGAGATGGGGGCCAATGAACACGGCGTGTGTGTCGGAAATGAGGCCGTCTGGACCAAAGAGCCTGTGAATCCAGAAGAGGCTCTGCTGGGAATGGACCTGGTTCGGTGAGCCATTCCTAACCTGTATTTGTCTAGTTATTGTTACTTATGTTGAAACACGTGTTGACAATATACAGTGGTGATCAAATGTGCTGTGAGAGACTAGGACTCCCAGCTTCACAGAATAATGGATTGAGCACTTCCTTGAGGATAAAAACATTGAATTATTAATTTGTTAACCTAGAGTTCTGATCTAAACCTGATTGAAAATCTCTAAAACGATGGTCTGTGAGAGACTAACTATGTACTGTGAGAGACTAGAGCTGCATTCCAGCCTCACACAGAATAACGGATCAGGCAGTTCCTTGATAAAACACTAAAATAACAACCAAGGGTTCTGCTCTAAACCTGATTGAACATCTCTAGAACAATAGTCTGTGAGAGACTAGCTATGTACTGTTTGAGACTAGAGCTGCATTCCAGCATGCACAGAATAATGGATCAAACAGTTCCTTGATAAAACACTGAACTAAATAAATGGCAACCCAGAGTCCTGATCCAAACCTGATTGAAAATCTCTAGAATGATAGTCTGTGAGAGACTGGCTAAGAACTGTGAGATACTAGAGCTGCATTCCAGCCTCACACAGAATAACGGATCAGGCAATTCCTTAAAGATAAAAACACTGAAATAATGAAATGGCAATCCAGACTCCCCATTCACACGTGGCTTCAGCGTCAATGCTTGACAGAGGGCGTGTCTGAAGTTGAGGCTGACACGATCATCATAGCAGCGTCAGTCAATGAAATTAGTCGGCTACTGTCTGAGTTGGTGAATTTGCATACAGCGATCTGATTGGCTGACATTTCTGTTGCCGTTAACAAAGTTGAGCAAGTCCCAACTTCTGCAGCAAGCAACGCCACTAAAGCAGTGCTGATGGATCAACAATGTAGTTCGGCAACGCCTGAGATCACCCATTCAAAGTGAATGGAAAATGTTGAAGCTGACGCCCTGTGTGAATGGGGTGAGAGTCCTGATTTAAACCTGATTGAAAATCTCTATAATGATAGTCTGTGAGAGACTAGCCATGTACTGTCAGAGACTAGAGCTGCATTCCAGCCTCACACAGAATAACGGTTTAGGCAGTTCCTTGATAAAACACTGAAATGCAACCCAGAGTCCTGATCTAAACCTGATTGAAAATCTCTAGAATGATGTCTGTAAGAGACTAGTTATATGCTGCAAGAGACTAGTGATGCCTAGGAGATATTATAGTGCATTCCACTTAACTTTTAGACACACACTCACAAACCTCCCTGCCCTTATTCCCTCGGGAGAATCCCTGCCACCATTTTAAAGTGCGTTCCACTTCAAGTGAATGAGGAAAGTTTATATGAGCATATTCTTGATTTTGACAGAGGGAGCAAGTCAGCTTCATATGTCCACTCCAGCACCTATATGTTCCAGATTGCAATGAGATTGTGACATCACAACAGTGTAGTTTCCAAGTGCTCAAGGGTTTAGGGCATCCATTTAAACCCAATCAGATGTTCCGCTAGTAGTGACCATTTGTGTAATCAATGACGAACTGAGCACTGAGACAAAGGGGAGTTAAGGGTCAAGGACTTAGTAGATTAGACTGGATTGCAGTCTAGTTATGTCCAATGGGAGACTAGTGATATTTTGTGAGAGACTAGTGATGTCAAAGTGTAGATACAATATAAAACTGTTTGCATGTTGTGTTTGTAAGGCTGGGTCTGGAGCGAGGGGACAGTGCTCGGGCGGCTCTGAATGTAATCACGGCTCTGCTGGAGCAGTTTGGTCAGGGTGGAGCCTGCAGGGAGACCAGCGAACCCTTTAGTTATCACAACACCTTCTTATTAGTGGACCGACAGGAAGCATGGGTGCTGGAGACTGCTGGGAAACTCTGGGCTGCACAGAAAGTCACAGGTGGGAAAGAGAGAAAGCAGTAATTTAATTATGAACATATAATTTAATGAAATTAAAAGACAGTATTTGTGAAGCATATATGGGGAAAAGTTGTATGTATATGTAAGTGTGTGTGTGTGTGGGTTTAAAATACGTTAAGTTATTAAGTTGAGTAATTATATTATTTTTTTAATGAATTTGTGTATTTTTTATTGCGTATGAGAGGAATTAATAAATGAATGATGTATATTTAATATTTATAATTTTAAATTTTTTATCCATATATATATATATCACTGAACATTAGATATAAATCTGTTTGAATATATATAAAATTAAATGGTATTTTTATAATATATATCAAAACAGATTATCAATGTATTAGTATAATTGAGGTGATTTGTGTTGTCAGAGGGTGTAAAGAACATTTCTAACCAGCTGACGATAGACTTCGAGATCTCCGCTGAGCATCCGGATCTGCGCTCTGTGGCTCAGGCTCAGGGCTGGTGGAGTGGAGAGGGCGACTTCAGCTTCACTGCCGTTTTCAGCCCTGATCATCCGCCTGCCAGGATGGAAATGGCCAAGCAACGCTACAGGGGCGGCACAGCCCTGCTCCAGCAGCACAACGGTACCTCTGCTTTTTACTGCCATCATGACCAGTTGGTTTGCTGGCAGCTTTACCATGGCTAGCAAAGCATATGAGCGGAGCATGAATATTACTTTAAGAGCACAGATCGCCCATCTGAAGATTTTGCTCCTCTCAGTCATCCACTCAAAACCACTCGCTCTACCCAGATTAAGCTTTGATGGTTGTTATGCAAACGTTAGTTCAAGGTTTCGTATCTGTGCAATTAGCACCTAGTTATGGAGTTCAAGTATTGATTTAACAAAGTTGCGAATCTTGAACACATGTAAGTGCGGAGGGACGTTCAAAGTTAGCAAAGATTCATTCTGGAATCTAAAGTGGAAATATATACAGTTGAAGTCAGAATTATTAGCCCCCTTGAATTATTAGACCGCTTGTTTATTTTTTCCCTAATAACTCATTTCTAATAATGGATTTATTTTATCTTTACCATGATGACTGCAAATAATATTTTACTAGATATTCTTCAAGACACTTCTATACAGCTTAAAGTGACATTTAAAGGCCTAACTAGGTTAATTTGGTTAACTAGGCAGGTTAGGGTTATTAGGCAAGTTATTGTATAACAGTGGTTTGTTCTGTAGACTATTGAGGTAAAATATATCTTAAAGGGGCTAATAATTTTGTCCCTAAAATGGTGTTTAAAAAATGTAAAACTGCTTTTATTCCTGCCGAATTAAAACAAAAAAGACTTTCTCCAGAAGAAAAAATATTATCAGATATACTGTGAAAATTTCCTTGCTCTGTCAAAGATAATTTGGAAAATATTTAAAAAAGAAGAAAAGCATTTGAAGGGGGCTATCAATTCTGACTTCAACTGTATATACACACAAACACAGAGTTGAAGTAAGAAATATTGCCCCCCAATTTTTGGCTTTTTTAAAATATTTTCCAAATGATGTTTAACAGAGCAAGTAAATTTTCACAGTATGTCTGGTAATATTTTTTGTTCTGGAGAAAGTCTTGTTTTATTTTAGCTAGAATTAAAGCAATTTTTATTTTATTAAAACCCAAGGGTCAAAATTATTAGCCACTTTAAGCTATACATTTTTTTCAATAGTCTACAGAACAAACTATTGTTATAAAATAACTTGCCTAATTACCCTAACCTGCCTAGTTAACCTAGTTAAGCCTTTAAATGTTATTTTAAGCTGTACAGAAGTGTCATAAAAATATGTAGTAAAATATTATTTACTGTCATCATGGCAAAAATAAAACAAATCTGTTATTAGAAATGAGTTATTAAAACTATTATGCTAAAAAATGTGTTGAAAAATCTCTCCGTTAAACAAATTAGGGGGAAAAAAATAAACAGTAGGGCTAATAATATAGGGGGGCTAATAATTCTGACTTCAGCTGTATGTGTGTGTAAGTGTGTATATATAAATATATATATACAGATGTTACTACTTCAATGTGTTCCTTGTGCCGCCATTCATACCGCGGCGACGGCGTTACTTGATGCGCCAGCAGCATTTGACCGCTGGGTGGCACTTTAACCACAGATATTCAGCTTTGCCTTTTCACAATGCTAAACAGACTGTTCTGTAGGCGTAGCTTACTGTGTGTGATGTGATGTGTTCAATTAAAATATAATTTTAATTTAGTTTTTCTGGTAATAGACATGCTCTTACACTATACTATGCTGTAGAAAAGATACATGGTGAGAAGTCAAAAAGCAAATATAAGAATTAAATTATTAGCCTTCAGTGCCCGATTAAATTGTGTTGGGGTGAAAATAATGTTTTGATTTCTTTGACTATCATGGCAATGTTATTATCTCAAATCCTAAACGTGCGCATATGAAAAACAGCAAAATAATATAGATTATCCTGCCGGTAGAGCACATCACCTCACAGTTGTGAACTTGCGATCACCTCAACTTACATTTAAAATTTGTTTACCTGGTTTATTGTAAACTTTTTAAGTGCAAAGAGGATTCATTTTGGAAAATACAATTGAAGAAATGAAAGACAACTAAAGTGAAAGCATAAACATTCAGTATAAATAAGTAGTCTTAAATAAATAAATAAATAAATAAATAAATAAATAAATATATATAAATAAATAAAGCAGTCTTTTAGTCTAAATATAGAGAGATGAAGTTTGCTATTTTGATAGGACTAAGACAAGATATTTTCATTTATGTTTTTAATTTACGTTTTTATTTACATTTTCGTTGTTGATTATATTTTACTATCTCATTTTATGTTTCAGTACATAATAATAAACGAATAATGAAAATAAATAAATAATGAAAATAGGACATAAATTAAGTCTGGCAGGTTTATTTTTAATAATTTAGTTTCAGTTCCGTTTTTTTGTTTCAAAACGTCAATGTTCTGCTTTAAAGTATAACTGTTTTATTTAGTTTTTTTACTTAATGGCTCAGTAAGTTTTGTATTTTAATTTCATATTCAGTCACCTTGCATATGCGTGTGAAATATAATGCCGCATAACCGCGGAAAAAGAAGAAAAGGCTGTCAGTTAAAGCTAATCAAAATTAGCTATATTAAAATACAGCATTTATGTTAATACAGGCAGAGTGTGAACAAACTCAAGGCTAAGATATGCGCTTGCTTTTTAATGCATTTAAAATATAAATAAATGTTTTTTTTTTTTTACTTTTTTTGTATGGTAAAGGACAATGCACATTATGTTATTGATGTAAACTTAGGCTAAAACTTACCATTGATAAACGTGACCTACCTCAAGCAGATCACTTAAAGTGTAATAAAAATAATGTTGCCGCAGGACATAAATGAAGTCCCGCAAGTTTATTTTTAATAATTTAGTTTCAGTACTATTAATTTTTTTCTCAAAACGTCAATAGCACCTTCAATAATCTAAACATTAAAGATGGACCGCAAGATGTGTTGAGTGGCTATATGTGGTGAAGAACGATGGCAAAGCTAAGTGTGATTATTGTAATAAACTAATAAGTTATAAAGCAGAGAGTCCCGACCAACAGGACTGACTTAGCATATGCGGTTGGCTCATTCTTCACAAATATAGAATTAAAATAATGGCGCGTTAGGTTCATTGTGCATCCCGCAGGTGCAACCAACAAGGGTTGTGCATTTTAGTTCAACTTTTTTGAGCGTTATAAGCAAATTTTTTTTTATTTTTCAAAAAGAATCCTCTTTGCACTTAAAAAGTTTAGAATAACAATAAATCGTGTTAACAAATTTTAAATGATTAATAAAGGAATTATAAGGCTTTGACTTATTGTTTAATCTCATTTACAAGCACAATAGCATATTTAAGGCTGCTGTGTGGGCTATTTCTGTCGGTTCGCATCCCGTCCCTTTGCGCCCCCTGGCGGCTCATTCACAAACTGCGGTCATACACTAAAAACAAAGCGGCTCCTATTTCAAACGGCGGCGGTATATGACGCGGCGGTAATAGTCACTTTGAACTCTCACCTACTGTATATATATATATATATATATATATATATATATATATATATATATATATATATATATATATAATTGTCCTAACTGTCAATCGGCAATTGATTAACCTGAGGCTATAACCTTTAAGCGGTCGGAGTAATATTATAATTTGATTATTATATTTATAATTACATTTTCTGTCTGACACATTAAACAGCATACAGAACATCTTAAAAAACAACTTAAATAAATAAAACAGAGAAAAAGAGTAAGATAAATAGTCCTGCCCTAGATATGTTTCACTTAAATTACAAATTTAGATTACAAAACGAAAACACTGACTGAATCCTTTTTTAGAACCGGCACAGGGAATTTTTTCCCAATAACATGTTTGTTTTTTCTTCCGTCAAATTAAAACAGCAAATCGTTCGCGATTCCGTTCCACGGAAAGTATGCATTTAATTAATGTTCCATTGTAATTCTTATATCTCAAACCTTTTTCAACATTTTTAATAGAAGTAATAATTTTAAAGATTATGTCTTAAGCTTTCAGTTTTGCCTTTCTGTGCTTTCATTATTTAATATACTATATACTATATCCGGTATGTTTTGGCACAGTTAAGCTCTGTATATTCTATAATAATTACTATAGTATAAGATAACACACACAGCTGCCAAAATAAATAGGCTATAAAGTTAACAGTTTGAAACAGAAATTTATTTTATCGACATGCTTTAAATGACAGTTAATTACGATTTTTCAGTTACAAAGAAACTAGTTAGCCTACTAGAAAAATTTTGTGTCGGAACGGGATCTGAGCGGCATTTGTTTACCGGCAATCGTGAGTGGAATTTTAACGGAGCGCTTGCTTTTCTGTAAGTTGAGTGTGCAGCACCTGGAAACAAATCTGAGCGGATAAAAAAGCTGGGACGTTTATATTGATGACAACTCCCATTAATAACCATATAACTTTCTGAGAAATTGATGAATCAATGATTTACTGCATGCACACCCATTTGTTATTGTGAGGATCACTTTTCATAAACAATTCATCCCTTGATGTCGACATACATACAGGTATGCTTATTTTCTCGTTCTTGTTTTCCTTACAGTGAAAACGTTCAGATATTCTGTCATTTTGGTCATAAAGACGAGAAAGACATCGTTTAAACCAACATTTTTTTCAGTCAAAATTTTCAGTCAAAACTTTCAGTCTGCCTGAACTTTATGTAGAAAAGCATCACCAAAATAGAACAAAATCTACATACATGACCTACAGACATCCTGTATGTTTTGCTGACTGATCATTTAAAATATTGACACCTCGTTGTTGTAAACTTTTTAAGATATTTGAGAATAAATGATGTACGGTTGGATCTCAGACTGTTATTCTGAAGACAACTCCATGCCCACAAACATGGTGCAGCACAAAACGATACGTGATTGGTTGGTTAACCTGTCAGTCAAATAACATAGTAGGTGGTCCTTGACCTTTCAAAATGGCCAAAGCTCCCAGACCAGCACCGTCAATCTACCATAAGACTACCATGAACATAGATCAGCTCAGCAGCTCTATAATTGTTGCAATAACCATGGCAACAAGTCTGTGATTAAAGTCGAGGTGCTTTCATTTTACCAACAACTCAAGATTGGCACAAACCTAACTAAAGTTTAACTGGCTAGCCAGCTAATCCAGATTTATGGTACATTCTCCAGACTTTATTTGCAAATGTTTTAAGCCATATTCAAGTTTTGCATTTAAATCTAATCCACATCTTTGGGTGGAAACATAGCTAATGTGGGTTACTGTCAAGTCCAGCTAAATTTAAACTAAGTGTCAATTATACTGCTGTTTTCGCAGCTGCCACTATTAAAACTACCTTGTTTATTTAGTTTTATCACTCAACCAGACATAAACAGTCTTGTTCAAGTAGGAAGGGGATGTTAGAGCATTTATTGAGGTGTATTCGAGCTACAATTCACTAGACCGTGGCCCTCTAGCAGGCACGTGCACACATAGGGCTCAACCTGTGCAGTGCACATGACCTTTTTAGTCTTGGATAGAAAGTGCCCTTTCCAAATGATCAAAAGTGCCCCCATGACGCAACACACCCTCCGCCCCGCTCTTGAGTAGGCGCGTGACAACACCGCTCTTGAGTATGCGCCCCCCTCCCCCGCTTTACATTACGTGCGCGACAACACCGCTCTTCAGTACGCGCGCGACGACAACAACAACTACAATCAATATCTGTCCTCCTCTGACAGGCTCTGTGACGGCAGAGGTGATGATGAGTATCCTGAGGGACAAGGCCAGTGGGATCTGTATGGACTCAGAGGGTTTCCGCACGACTGGCAGCATGGTGTCCATCCTCCCTCGCAACCCAAACATGCCCTGCGTTCACTTCCTCACTGCCACACCAGACCCATCCAGGTAAGACCCTAATAACTCTTCACCACCAACTGGTGCTTGTTCAGAGCTAGTGCCATTGCCGTTTCATAGTTCCACTAGTAAGTGTCTTTTTGCTTTTCCAAACGCTGGAGAATCACCACAGAAACACTTATGTAACTAAATACATCTAATCTTTCCCAGCAACACTAGCATGGAAGCGCTGAAAACAAACACACTATCAACAATGGTGGACGTCATCCATATGCTGTGAATCCAACATGTAATGTCCAGTATCACATGTTAATCTTCACTTAAAGGGCCATGAAACCCCCTCTTTTCAGCAGGGTGTTTTCACACCTGTACTTTGGAAAAAGTCAGAAAAGTGGACGTGTCCAGCTCTGTTTAGGGGGAGTGTCGAAGGAAGAAAAGTGGGATGGTGTGGGAGTGTCTATTTGGGCACGCACAAGTTTCAGAGTCAAAATACACACAAACACACAGGAGAAAGTGATGGTGTTTAACCTACATGGACATGTGTAGTCGAATTATTTGCCAAATTATTAAATGGTGGACTTTAACTGCAGTTTGGCTCTTTCATTCAGGGAATTCATTCATGCCCCTCGCAACAAACGAGATATTTGATTCGACGAACTGCTCTAAGCGTGTATTTTTCATGCAATGTTTGATACGGCACGGCGAATGAGAGAAAAAAAAACTCTGCATTTCCTGGAAACTTAGATGCACACGGCAGGTAGCGTCAGAAAGCCGCATTTGTTATTCCGGTCACAAAATGCGGTAAAAACCCTACACGAGGTTAAAGTTTGGTTGTGGTGCTAACATGTTTACACTACGATACGAACAAACTGAATAAACAAAGAGCACTGTTCGCTCACTTACCAAATCTGTAGAGACAGGACAATCACCAGCAACTAGAGCCGCGTCTTTATGAAGAGAATACTACAAGTGAATCCGGATCTCAGCGTTTGCAGATGAGAACAGCTCTCAGGTAAACAATATTCCTCCTTAGACACGTAAGTTATTGTTGTCGAGCGTCGCGTACACTGTAATCCACACGTGACTCTGAGCTCTCACAGAGAGAAAATGAAAACGAAACTTAATTGTAGCAAACTATAAAAGCAACACTTCACGCTTGTTTTGCCAACACAACGTGGTGTGAGTGTCGTAAGCACTGTGACGGTAATGAATATTTATAAAGTTGCACAATAGAGCGCGCTGATTGGTTTGAACCAAGCCTTACTCATGCATTAATGCATCACACTGTAAAACGTAATAAGACACACTCTGGCACAGACGCCCAGTCTACACGCTTGAATACATGCTATTATGTCATGACCGTGACGCAGCTTCAAAAATTCGTTTTAAACCGGAAGTACGAATTTGCTTGAAATAATGCAAAAACAACCAGTTTACACTTTTTAGAGAAATATAGGTGTCCTAATAGTGTTTTTAGCAGTGTGGGACACATATACGACTGTCAACAGCTCAAAAAATGTGTTTTAATGTTTCGTGACCCTTTAATAGCTACATGAACAAGTGAGGATAATGTGTTTGTAAAAAATTCATACGGCTGGAGATCACAAGTAAGGGGTAATGTACATAGAGTTGATTGTTCCGCAAAATAAAGCTCCACAGGCTAATCAGTCGAAACAATTAGACATAAAAAATTGATCTGAGCTCTTTAATTTTTCATTCATTTATTTTCCTTTAGCTTAGTTCCTTATTTATCAGGGGTCGCCACTGAACGATCCCTGAATGAACCTGAATTACTCTGGCATATGTTCTATGCAGCGGATGTCCTTCCAGCACTCTTTAATTAGAAAAAAAGAAAATGGCTGAATGGATAATACACTAACCTATGTGTTATTCAGTCACAAGATGGCACCAAACAGTCAAGAATAGCGGCCTAAAAAAGATAAGCCTGAAAATGGATAAAAATATTCTCACTAATGGTCAAGTTGAATAAGTGAAAATAACATGTTCGTCCAACTCACCATAATTTGTGTAGACAACATTAAAGGGCCATAAAACCCCCTCAGAGTTTCAGAGTCAAAACACACACACACACACACACACACACACACACACACACACACACACACACACAGGGGAGAAAGTGTTTACATGGACATCTGTATTCGAATAATTTGCCAAATTATTAAATTGTAGACTTAAATTGCACACTGTAAAAAAATTGCTGTTAAAAAACGGTCAGATTCTACAGTAAAATAATGTTTTTTCACTAAAACAGTAATATTCTGTTAAAAACAGTGCTTTCTGGGTAAAATTTTTGTTTTCGAGAAAGAAACCAACTGCAGAAAACTGTGAGCTAACAGAGTTCAGATTCGATGTTTTGAAGTCTGTGTTTGAAATCACGCTTTGTGTCCTTGTTCACCATTTCATACACTAGTTAACTAATAGAGTTCACCTGACAGTTTTAATGAACACTAATGAGTGAATTCAGACACTGATGAACACCTGCTGTTAATAATTACAATTACTGAAGAAAATAAACAAGAAACACAAACAGTGACTTGAGTTACAACATTAAATAAAATAAAATAAAATAAAACAGCTTCAGTCTCAGCAGAGGATCATTAAACAACTCCACAAACAACAGCAGACACACACTTATTACTGACTGATTTGACTTCCATAATATTCTCATTGAGATCCAACAGAAATTAAGGTGTTTTTTGTGTCACCGTAATGGAGTGAGGGGCGGATTTAGTTGGGCTCTTCACCCTTGAACTCTTAAGAAGACTTTCCATCTGCTAGAATACAGAGTTTACAAAATGTTTGTACTATAGCAATAAAGTTGGGAAGTCAATAAATAGAGAAATCTATTTGTCTGAAATTAGTTCTGATAAATGTTTTGGTTTAAATCTGGAAGAAGGGCCTCATGCAATAGATTTTATGCTTAGTTGCAGGTATTAATTTAATTAATGAGAAGTGGAAACAGAAAATATACCTCCGTAATTACTTAACAGTTAAGAAATAACATACAAAAACAGTTCAGTTATGACAAATACACACTCAGACCTCATGAATCTGACCTTGTATCTCAACAATGGTAACATCTCAAATGTTTCATGCTGCAATGCATGCTGGGAGTGGCACTGTACAAATATCCCAGCATGCATTGCGGTATAAATAAATGTTGTATAATGGTCTAACAGTTTTCTTTTTTTGTCCTTGATTCTGCTGTTGTTTATGTTTAGACTTTCAGTTGCCTGTTTGTGAGTTAAGCTGTTAATTTTGTCAAATTTGTTTTCACCATTATTGAGGTTCATATGCTGATTATTGATGTCTCTTTGAGTGCGATTTACACCATAGAGCAGTGTTATTGTCCAAGATATTCTTAAAAACTTCCAGAAATCATTGCCATATATATATATATATATATATATATATATATATATATATATGTAAGATTTCCCCTATATTAGGCACCAGATTCAGCAAAGTTCATCAGGTCGACCCGGAGACATGAGAAGAGACCAAACTGTAGTTAGAATGGTTTATTCTGCAAGCCTGATGATAAGGATGAGCAGGGACATATATACATAGTGGGCTGACCTTTAAAAGTTATACAGAAGAAGGAAGACACTCTTAATATGGGCATGTTATACAAACAGAATAAAGAAGAAATGTATATATAGCGGGGCTTTCCATCCAGTGTGGGAGCTGTCTGCAAGACCGAAACCAGACGTTGACCTTCAGACCTCCGATGCACACACACACACAAAAAACCACAGACACTTCTGCACGTAGCTGCAAGCACACTAAAAAGAGGACAATATGTTCTCTCAGTCCCCTCTTTTAGGCCAAAGGCCTAACACAGAGGAATCTTATCATATCGTTGACCCATCATACTGTCCATTGTGGCATAGATTCGATTCATTAAACATTGCAAGAGAAAAGGACCACAACAACAAACAAGAAGGAAAATAATACATACAGGAATTATCATAGTAAGGAAAGGAGTCACCCAGCCGAACAGACCCATCATCCAACCCCATGTGGTGTCTGGGACATAATCAGAAGTCATAGCAATTTTTAACCCTTGGAGAGTAGACATAGCAGTACTCATTTACATACCTCCCCCTGGGATGCTGTTAAGAGATCTAGAGCCACTCTATTTTGCAAAACCATGGTACGTAGATTACCCAGCTCCTTATTCTGGGCCTCATTAATTATTTTTGAGGCATTCAGAAATAGGCCCATGCGATAGTCCAGGGTCTCGATTCTTAGTAGAGCTTTTCCCACACCTATTTGCGGAAATAGAGCCAATACCATTTTACTACCAGTGGTCCATAATTTGAAATCCTCGGGCACGTGAGTACCCCATACAGAGTCATGGGGCTTCATTTCAGGGACACTGCGTTTAACTCTTCGCTGCGCTGACAGGACCTGGGCTGTCACAATAAAAGTGTGATCAGTCACATGCACAGGGGCACACTGCCCCGTCCAGTTGGCCGGTAGGGACATGTAGGCGTTTTTCCCACACAACCACCACCCACCCTGGACCACATAAGTGCCATTTGAGGGTCCTGAGATGTCGACTGGGGCCCCCTCTCCCGAGGAGGCAATTTGTTGACAGTTAACAGTGCTTCCCATGAAATGAGAGCCCATGGTCTGGTTATAACACACAGGGTGTGTAATAGAGTGGTTAATAAAAACCTTGTGGCTAATAGGTGAGGGTTTAGCATGGCCAAATTTTACCCAAAATAGAGCATCACATGTACCATTTCTAATGCCAATCCGGTATGGATCGTAGTCATCGACAATTATATATATGGGTCCTGGTACCCTGATCCTGCAAAACTGGCAAAACATTTAGCAGAGGTCTTATTCATGGGTTTGGCATAAAGAGGGGTTTGCTTGGCTGAATGAGGCATAACAGAACATACATAACAACCAGATACATTATATGACCTAGCTAAAACTCATTTACATATTGATACCACATATTATTTCAATTGGATTGTCAGCCCCATCCTCTGCCCATCCAAATTCATGATCAT